ATTAACAGTTTGTTAATCTGTGACCGAGCCTTTCATAGGATGATAAGTCCAACATATTCTCCGCTATGTATCATATACTATGCTATTAAATGTCGTGAAGATGACTGGGATTAATTCTATCTTCGAATCAAATTAGGACATATATATTAATATGTTTATGGGAATTTTTAGTCCTGAAATATCTGAAGTATTCAACTCCTTCAATATATACATGATATTAAGAAACACACTGTAGGTATAAGGTGTCACCCGTCTTGAAGAATGATAATTGAACATAACTGACGAATAAGACAACAATTAAAACCACCCACAGCACCGGAAGCGGGAATATTACGGGGCAAAGGGCAATTCATTGAAGACAAAGACAAAAAGGCCCTGATGCCTCTTAAGACTATCGTTGATGAGGATAAGTAGTGTAAATTACCATTACCAATGGTAGGTGGACAGGAAATTGAATGAACGCGTTTCGATTTTTTTTTTCGAGTCAACTTTCATTACTGTGAACTGTGAAGTGCATTTACCGAGGAATTTACATATCGCACCCCCGCTTCAAAAGTCAAACAACTCAAAAAACTCGGTTTCAAGATTTGTATGGTATTTTGTAGAAAAATGTCTGAATTTCAATCTCTAAAAGTGTCACAATCGTAGTTCTAATAGTTTTTACGAGATAGCGTTAGTGTCACTATTACTTCATCTGTATTATCTCACTATTGTTAGAACGGTAATTTAATTTTATCTTCAGAATTTTATCCTGAAAATCAATGGCATATTTGGAGCTCAGTCAGTTTTACTGAATTAATTATAAATTTCAATGGTTCATCTTGACTTGTTATGATGGTTTTGATAAATTATCTCTTGAGCCAATATCCATACTTTCGAGCAATATTTTATGCAAATACCCCTCGTTTTCGGGTTGGAAAGTTCTTCAAATCGGGTAAAATTGATGACAAAAATGAATTGCAACTGATTGAAAGTAAAGAGAAGTTGAAACTTGAGTAATTCTTCAAATACCATTTTATTGCCTCATTCAAAGAAGATATCAAACATAAATTATGTTCGAGTATTTCGTTCTATGTCCTATAACAAGAAGTAATGAATTATTTTCAATAAAATCTGGGTTTAAGATTTTTTTCAATCAATCAACATAAAAAAGATTATCATTTCAAACTCACTATGATTCCTTCTACAATCTTTCATATAATACAAAAGTAATTGTGATTTATCTTTACTGATTCATATACCTGATGCAATCAGTACCCCAACAATGTTTTGCATTGGATTCTGAGGATCTCGAGTTCATTTACAAAATAGTTCCCAAGGATCTCCCTTTACTATGAAACCCTGATCGTGAAGTGGTTGAAGTTGTAAAGAATAGTGCAGAGAAAGAAAGGCTAAATTCAATAGGAATTTGGGGACAACCACGTATAAAAAGAGTATTCCGGTGACAGAAAGTAAGGAACTCCTCTCGTTCGTACATATCAAAATCACATTCCTACATTTAATGCTGACTTTTCGAACTATTCGAAATAAACAACCCATTCAGCATTTTTTCAGTATTTTAGTATAATCTGTTCATTTCAGATTTAGTTTTCTTTTTTTGGCCACAAAGTTTTATTTCACCAAAGTTTTATGTGACTTCGTTCTCAATTTATATATGTTCCATGGTATTATATAAATGAAATACACTACTTTATGATTATTTCTAACCTTTTATAGGTATTTGTCATCGATATAATGTACATACAACTCATTTTGAAATGAAACACTATTTATTCTAAAACGACACAACATCTCAAAATAGTAGGAGTGCCGCCAGGCTTGCTTCATGGAATTTCGCACATTATATAGGTTAAAATCTTCATCAGAGAGCAAAACCGGGAGCAAAACTATTGCATTTCTGTTTTCCATGACAATAAAGTCGGCATCATATGGGAAAAACTGTTAAAAATAATTTATTTGGAAATTCGACTTGGGCGTTAAGTTTTGCTTCAGAATATATCTCGATAAATAGCGGTTTGTTCATATTTTCATTGTGAACTTTGTGTTTTTCAGACGAAAATACGTAAGTACCAAAAATGTTTTTCGAAAAAAAACCATCGCATGATAAGTGCAGTTTTACCGAAAAAGGGCTTGAAAATGAAATTTGGATTGCGTGACTAGTTTACTACAAAAAATTTAATCTTGATATAATTCGATTACCCTCTTGTTTTCGACAAAATTTTAATTTTAGTACTTAATTGAAAGCATGAGTCGACACTTCAAACGATTAACAGATATTTCTCAAAAATTGTTGAACATTTTTATTTCCACGCATACAAAGATTGTCATACGACGAAAAAAATTTAAATGAACTATCAGCTATTTCTTGTTGGTTTTTTTATACTGAGGTGTATTTGCTTGTATCAATTTTTTTCGACGTATGAATCTTTTTATACGTGGAAATGATGAACATTTTGACAATTTTCATGACATATCTGTTGATCGTTTCAATGTTAACTAATGCTTTGAATTACTAAAATTCATATTTTGTCGGAACCATGAGAGTAATCAAATTTTATCAAGAGAACTTTTTTTTTATAGTGAACAAGTTACGCAATCTAAATTTCATATTCAAACCCCTTTCTTTCCATTGGCGTAGAAGTTTTAGGTGTTTATTTTCTAGAAGAATCAAGTTCTACGCCCATGGAACAATATTTATCATTATTATGATATTGGTTGTATTGGCCAATGAAACCATGCCAACGTTCCAAATTAGAGTAAAATATCATGAGGTGTTTCGAAGTTATGAAGGAAAAACGATTTGAAAATTGTAACTTCAGAGCCGCCAACTTTGCTTTCTGTAAAGACCTTTTCGGAACACCCTGTATATGATAACATTACTGTAATGAATTATTGTTGATTAGCCATCAACCTTTTATACTTATGAAATGACAAAAATCTAGTATCTACCGGAATTCGATAACTTACGTAATGTTATTAAACAAGAAACCGTGATTAAAATATTATTGTTTTCTCAAATGTTGTATATTGTTGTCTAGACTTTAGTCTAGAGATTAAATCTGCTAGAAATCTGTGATACAAGTGTTTTCCTATCAGTCTATGCCTGTAAATAGGCAGAGTCAATTCAATTTATGCACAAGGAATGAATGGATACTTTTAATCTCTCACTTGAACGACCTCGTGAAGGACTAAAGTGGTACTTTTAATGGTGCTTTCAATGGTACTTTCAATAAAGTAAATATACTGACACTTTTCCTCAAACGCCACAGCAACGTTATGTGTCTATAAGTATATTATATAGACATACCGAGAGATTTATATACCTAATTGGTAATATCAGATATCACAGATCAACAAACCATAGTAATATCAATGAAGTAGTAAATATTATAGTTGATTTTGATTTTGCGAAGCGATAGGGTTATATATTTTTATTTTTCATCTTCTGCTGAAAACATTTCTTGTTTTCAAATTTTCAGCACATGAATATTGTTTAAGCAGGCATGGTCGAAGCCAAAACATGCAAAATTATAATATTCACTCACTTTGTATTCCGCTGACGGATTGTCCCATTCTTCAGTTTCGCAGAATATAAGGTTGTAAAATACGCCGAGAATAAAGAATGTCTTTACTGTATTTTGAGCACCATTTTATTAATATTTCAGATTAATGCAAGGAAAAAAACTATAACTCCATAATAAAAACAATAATTAAAATATTATAAATACCACTAATTCAAATTTCGTTTGTTGTCACTTTGGTTAAAATTAAAAAATCTCTGTTTTATTTATTTATTTATTCAAAAATGTAGATACTTGACTTGAAGAAAAAATGAAAAATGACACATTACAATGAATTGACTGTTGACACTTGACAGTGCTAAAGTTTCACTTTGACAGAAAAAATACAGAATGCACTGAAGTTCTTTTGTCTTTGCTTATTTCATGAAATAAAAAAGGGTAGATGTTACTGGCTGGCTACTGAGTGAAACTACAAATAGTCATCAATTTTACAAACCTTGCAGCTAGCGCATCTCTTGGACTTTCTAACAACTAAAATCGCAGAACAAATGTGCCGTGCCCCCAAATCGCTTTTATTGCGTCCATCCGCCATCGAGACTAAATAAAAGTAGAAGAGCAGTGCAGCGTTGCCAGGCCTGTACTTTCGTAGTAGATCTAGTAACTTTCTACTGGCTAATACGCTAGTATACCGATCACAAAATTCGGACGTTTTCCACGTTTCGACTTGAAATATCGAAATATCGACATTACCGAAATGAACCAGAAAAAGTTCAATGTGCAATATCAGTGAAATGTCATTATTGTCTTCCATCCAAACAAAGTTTTGAGTTTTATATGCTTATGTTTCGTGTCTGTACTATGCAGTTCATATTACAATTACTTGTCAATATTGTGATTATTGTGTAATATCGTTGATTGATATATTACGCTTACGCTGGGTAATATATCAATCAACGGTAATATGTATTCCATCATCGATCGATATGTATGTTGTCATTTTTTGTTAATTGCTTTCACGAATATAGATTATCATGAATAGACGAATGAAATGACGATTGGCTGTTTTGCAGTGTTTTGACTAATGCAAAATGAGATGTTCACAATATTAAGTAAAGAAGTTTTCATTATTTTTTGCCTTGTCGATTCAATTCCTCTCCCTCTTCGCCGTGGTAACCATACACTATAGTAGGAACTAGGAAGTCCTGAGGAAAATCCCGACTAGTACTTTTCTCGAAAAACTAGTACTTTTTGTGGTAATTTTTCAGTACATTTTGAGTTGCTGGACTGGCAACGCTGGAGCAGTGGCTTGCAGTAGAGACTGTAGGCACTAGGCTGTGCTGTGTAGAGAAACACTGGTTACTCGATTACTGGATTAGAAGAAGAAGAGTCTTAACCTCAGTAAAATACATTTCTGAAATATTTTCAAATAAAGCGAATATTCAGTAAAATTCAGATAAAATCACATATTGAGAAAGATTAATAATGTCTACAAGATGGTAACTACATTTCCCTTGTTGAAATACATGTATTGAGTTGAGATAACACTTTTTAGGTACCCGATCTACCAGAAAGGTGGTCCACAATTGAGAGTATTCCTGCCAAATTTCTGGATGAAACTCGTAAAGCCAACTCAAGACCAACCGCCAAATATCGTGCAGTTCGCATGTTCAATGGAAATGACCAAGCATGATGTTAAAAATTATCTGGAAAAAATCTATAACATCAAATGTGTGGATGTTAGGACTAGGATTCATATGCCCAAAACTAGAAGAGACCCTGGAAAAGGCTATGTTATCAAAGATGAAGATACAAAATATGCCTATGTCACAATGGTAATGAGAAATTCCCAAATGTTATGAAGGAGAGTGTTCCAAGGAGTGTTCAGTCTTATTTGGATTGTTTAAAATCTCTTGTTAGATTCTTCACTTACTTATATGCATATGTGAAAAATCATGCACTATGACATGACTATAATGAGCTGTTCCTCATTCAAGTCATGATTATTTTGGGAACAAAAAATCATCAATTTTCAATAGGTACTAAGTGGTTCAATTATGGTTTTTTCTTTTTAGCCCAAAGAAGAATCTTTCAAATTCCCAGATCTGTTTGAGACTGAAACCAAAGAAAAAATTGTTGAAGACCATGATAAAGCTATGAAACAGGCTAAAGAAGGCTTTCAAGACTTTTTGAAGAAAAATAAAGATAGAGCAAATATGCCAGGGTGGTTTACAATTTGAATAAAATGAAAATCACAGTTTTTAGTCCAGTGAGTGTATGCAACTAATGGTTAAAGTTTTATAGATTTTAATATTATTCCAGTCATTTACAATTATTTTTCAATCCTTAATTAAATGGTGTGTTATTCATGTGCTGAAACCAAACATAAATTCAAACTGATTCCTTTTCAGTTTATTCAGCAAAATTTATGAAATTTTCTGTTCACTTCCTGTTTATTCAGTGATACAAAAAAATTGATCAAATAATGCTTTATATAATGGTATAGATTTTGAATTAGGACCTTCTATACTGAATTTGGAGGATGCCAATATTAATATGACTTTTAAAAAACATTAATAGTTGTTCCTGATGTGCAGACACACTTTTCTTTTTATGGCATAACTTTCTATTTATAATTTTGGAAGTAGAAGCAATGAAATGTACTTGAGGAAAATTATGTTCAGAGTGTCCATAATATGCATTGGAGTTCAAGATTTTCTCAAATATGTCAAATTCCAGTTTCAAATTGAAAGGAGGGCTTTGGTATTGGTTTATTTAATTGTTTTGGTCTCATTCTAGTCTCAGAAATCCTGGAGGCATTTCAGAGACACTGTCTGTAGATATTGTATAACAATAAACTGGAAGACATAGATTCATGGTATAGATACCCTCTTTTCTCCTTTGTTTTTCTAGCTATATTTCTGAAATTCGGAACATCAAATATGCTCAGTAGAGGGCACTTTCTCTCATCCAAGGACATTTTTTTCATCTTCCGGTATTCCTGGAAATGACATGAATTTTCGATTTTCAAATGGAACACCATGTATTTTATTCCTTAATCTGTTAGGGATTATTATAATGAATTCAAATCAACTTATAACCTCATTATACACAATTTATATGATCATAAAAGTTTGTCATGCGATTCAGTTGTGTGAATGAACTAGTACTTCTTTAATTATGTAAAATCTGCTGTGATGAAATTTTTAAAATTACAATTTAATTAAATATTGATCATCATGACAAGCTTTTATGATCATATAAATTGTGTATAATGAGGTTATGAGTTGATAGTTAAAATTATTAAGAAACATTTTATTTTCTTCTTTTTAGAGCGTTTGAATAAAAGTTTTTTATTAAAAAGTTTTTTTTTACTTTTATTTTATTTTTTAATTTTCGGTTATCGCTAGCTGGATTTTTCGATTTACTCTCAACGAGCCTTTTCATTTGATACCCATATTGTAGAAGTATATTGAAAATGACCATTCCGCCATCTTGGATGGTCCGCCATAATGGATTTAGAATGACGTCACATCATTTTTCGAGTTACTCTCAACGAGCCTTTTCATTTGATACCCATATTGTAGAAGTATATTAAAAATAGCTATTCCGCCATCTTGGATGGTCCGCCATATTGGATTTAGAATAACGTCACATTATTTTTCGAATTACTCTCAACAAGCCCTTTCATTTAATACCCATATTGTAGAAGTTGATTAAAAATGACCATTCCGCCATCTTGGAGGGTCCGCCATATTCGATTTAGAATGACGTCACATCATTTTTCTCTCTCAAGTTACTCTCAAAGAGCCTTTTCATTTGATACCCATATTGTAGAAGTATATTAAAAATAGCTATTCCGACATCTTGGATGGTTCGCCATATTAGATTTAGAATAACGTCACACTATTTTTCGAATTACTGTCAACGAGCCCTTTCATTTGATAAACATATTGTAGAAGTAGATTAAAAATGACCATTCCGCCATCTTGGATGGTCTGCCATATTCGATTTAGAATGACATCACATCATTTTTCGAGTTACTCTCAACGAGCCTTTTCATTTGATACCCATATTGTATAAGTATATTAAAAATAGCTATTCCGCCATCTTGGATGGTCCGCCATATTGGATTTAGAATAACGTCACATCATTTTTCGAGTTACTCTCAACTAGCCTTTTCATTTGATACCCATATTGTAAAAGTATATCAAAAATAGCTATTCCGCCATCTTGGATAGTCCGCCATATTGGATTTAGAATAACGTCACATTATTTTTCGAATTACTCTCAACGAGCCCTTTCATTTGATACCCATATTGTAGAAGTAGATTAAAAATGACCATTCCGCCATCTTGGATGGTCCGCCATATCCGATTTAGAATGACGTCAGATCATTTTTCGAGTTACTCTCAACGAGCCTTTTCATTTGATACCCATATTGTAGAAGTATATTAAAAATAGCTATTCCGCCATCTTGGATGGTCCGCCATATTGGATTTAGAATAACGTCACATTATTTTTCGAATTACTCTCAACGAGCCTTTTCATTTGATACCCATATTGTAGAAATATATTAAAAATAGCTATTCCGCCATCTTGGATGGTCCGCCATATTGGATTTAGAATAACGTCACATTATTTTTCGAATTACTCTCAACGAGCCCTTCCATTTGATACCCATATTGTAGAATTAAATTAAAAATAGCTATTTCGCCATCTTGGATGGTCCGCCATATTCGATTTAGAATGACGTCACATCATTTTTCGAGTTACTCTCAACGAGCCTTTTCATTTGATATTGTAAAAGTATATCAAAAATAGCTATTTCGCCATCTTGGATAGTCCGCCATTTTGGATTTAGAATAACGTGACACACCTTATCGTGCATTATCATCCAAAATGAACGTGTATACAAAATTTCAGCTCAATCGGTTGAAGATTTCTACTTCAAAATTGAGTACAACGATTCCACCCGAACATACATACAAACAAACATACAATGCAAGTTAAATAGAAGCTTTTAAAATAAAATACACCCCCGGGTTTGATAAGGTTATTTCAAACGATTACAAAGATATTAGCGCTAGAAGTTTCCATAAGCTCTATGAGTGTGAGAGAGAAAGAAGTTTCAATATTGCTCTGTCACCCAATTGAGCTCATGGTAACTTCAAATGCAAATATCTTCATAATCATTTGAAATAACCCAATCAAACCAGGTATTGTTGAATTCGTTTATATAATTCCTAACTGATTATAGAATAAAATACAGGGTGTTCTAATTGAAAATCCGAAGTTTATGTCATTTCCGGGAAAACTGGATGATGAATCTCTAGTGAGCATATTTGCTGTTCCAAATTTCAGAAATATAGCAATAGCAGTAATAGCACCAAAGGAAAGGGAGTATACCATGAGTCTATGTCAACCGGTACTGATGGGTTTCGGGATGAAAAAAAGATATGATTTACGATAAATTCAATATATATTTATACACAAGTTGGTTTGAATATAAATTACAATAGATATTAGGCGTAAATTACTATCCTTTTCACAGATAAAAAACTTGGTGTATGTATTTTCATCATAATATTATTGACAATGAAACATAATCAAGAAACCTACATACAACAGATACTTTCTTAAAAATTATATATACTTTACAATCTTTCTCTGAAAAATGTATTCTCACACTCTATAAAAAAATCTATGAAAATAAATAAGTTCAGACTTGAGACGTAAAAAACGTATTGTTCTGTGAGGCAAAGAGTATAAGAATGTATTTTTGAACCCTTAAAACTAGAAATGATAATGCAAAACCATTGAACATAATGTTGAATCAATGGTAACAATATGATGGAATCAATTCAAATAAATTATATAGGTACCTGTAATAAATACATATTTTTTAGATAAGTTTCAAGGGTTTTGCATATTTATATATACAATTATTATTATTATTATTATTATTTTGCACCAGCTAAAACGTTTGCACCAGAAATTTGCATCATTTGGATGTGTTGAAAATTTTTGGTTTTCATATTCATACTGGCGCTGAGTTGTATATTCTAATGTGATGTTTATTTGATGGTATGAACAAAATACTTTCCATTATGGAAACATTAATACTGAGCAGGCTAGACGATTTTATTCTCTACCCAAGAAATAAATTTTCGCCAAGTTTTCCGCTTTCAAAACTTCTAATCTAGCACCAACTACAAATTCAGATATTCGAAATATTAAATTGATCCCAAATACTTTCTTAATCCTAATTCATCAGCTGCCGTTTTCTTGGGCAAAGAGAGCGGTCCTAGTGGCTGCCTTTAAACTTTTGTGTTTCACACGATAAAAACTATAATCTAATTTTTTAATCTTGTTTTGCAAGATCAAGGGTAAACGCCGCTAGTCACAATTCTAACATTTCAAGGTTTCGTATGGGTCACAGTCTATTCGGGCATTTTTATTTGTCAAGTTTCGGGTTTTATTTCTTGTCGATGAAATAAAAATTTGAACGTAAATAATATTGCAGTTAGGCCTCGATACCTATACAGGGTGGTAACAGGGTCTCCTTATATTTTGACACCTAGCAACAGTAATTGGATAAGTTGTTATAATTCAGAAAAAATCTTCAATTGTTTTTTTTTATCCTTCTGTACAAGCCTATGATGTCCATTGCACTCCAAAGTTTATTGATAATTTCGAATAATTTAATAAGTTGAATAAGTATGCAATAAGGTTTCTTAGAATATTAAATATAGAACTATACACCGTGTCCCAGCTAAAATGTCCCCCTCTGTAAAAAATCAACCGCGCGATCGAATGACTTGAAATTTGGTCACCCAGTATATGTGATGATGCTCACTCGAAATATGCTATTGAATAAATCGTATATATACAGGGTCACATCGAAGTGCACCTCAACTTCCTTATTTAAATAGGAACACCCAGTATATTATTCCCTATTCAAGTAGAGTTTTTTATTACAAATTGAACAATGCCGGGTTTGATGTGATTTTTTCAAACGACTACGAAAATATAGCAGAAAATAAAACGATTCAATAAAAAAATTATATGATTAGATTTTATTAATATAACATGAGTGTCCTGCACATAACTACAGACTCGTAGAGAATTATCTTCGCCATCGGTTTGGAGAAAATCTAATAACCACCAATTGTCTCGATGGTGATAGCAACTGGCCAGCTCGGTCGCCAGACCTCACCCCACTTGATTTTCATTTGTGGGGCTACTCGAAACAACAGGTTTATGAGTCGCCAATTGTGAATATGGAAGAAATGAAAGAGAAAATCACAAATTTATGCGCACAAATTGATCGAAACGTGATGCAATGAACGTTATCAAAAGAGCTAGGAAATGTTCGCAGCAGAATGGACGATATATTGAGCAGTTATTGAGGCCTCAATTATTTTTTTTTCATTCGATTTCAATCATGTTATATGAATAAAATCTAATCATATAACTTTTTTATTGAATCGTTCTATTTTCCGCTATATCTTCGTAGTCGTTTGAAAAAATCTCATCAAACCCGGCATTGTTGAATTTGTGATAAAGAATTCTACTTGAATATGGAAAATATACTGGGTGTCCCTATTCAAATAGGAAAGTTAAGGTGCACTTCGGTGTGACCCTGTATACCTACGATTTATTCAATAGCATATTTCGAGTGAGCATCATTAAATATACTGGGTGACCAAATTTCAAGTCATTCGATCGCGCGGTTGATTTTTTACAAGGGGGGGGGACATTTTAGCTGGGACACGGTGTATATTTGACAACAAGAGAAAAAAGTATTTCACTGGAGTTCAAGATATATGCAGTATTTCATTAAATTTTTTATTTTAATTCAATTTTTTTAATTAGTATTTGTTTGTGTAAGTTATGTCAAGAAATTGTACAGATGAAATTTTGCATAATTTTCATATCCGGACGCCAAAATATAAGGACGAAAACAAACAAGAAAATTAAGGAAAACCATGACGTACCTACCGATGGTATCTATCAATTGATTCTTCCCAAATTAAAAACTGACCAATCCTGTATAGGTATTTAGTGAAATTCATCGAATCAGTATGTAATCAAACAACCAAAAGTTATTGCTATAAAAATTAATGGATTCATGGAAGATATGTATTCAAAACTCACATGGAAACATTTGTTGTTGATATATTATAATTACTCACCAAAATAAGAAACATCGTTTCTGGGATACAGGAAATTGATGATTTTGAATGGGAATTGATTTCTTTGTTTTATTTTTTACTACCTATCAAAATTTTGGGAATACATCAATATTCTGGATGAATGATCACACACCAAATGAAAAATCCCTAACTTCACATTAAATACGGAATACTTCCAGTGTTACCACCACTGCATTTGCTCTATTTGCATGTACATCCTTTGCTTGATCCACAACACTGATAGATACACGAATGAGGTTATGGTGATGAAGTACAAAAATGCCGACAGGATGCACCCTGATCCGTGCTCCTTGGTTTCTTTCGCATACCTGAAAATAAACCAGATTTTTTAGATTTCTGAATATGCGTAGGGTTTTGTTGAACATCGTAATCCTAGACCTCAAAACCCTCTAGATACAAATTTTCAGTCGAATCGGACGATACATTACAAACTCAACCACCATCTTCGAGACGCCATCTTGAACTCGCAAAGGTTCAAGTGCGAATTCATATTTATGACCTTAAAAACACTCATCGCATCATTGATAATTGAGATATTGTGGCGTAGTCCATTTTGAATTTTTCTAGAGATTCTCAAAAAAATGAATCGGGGGGTTTTTGGGGATGCTGATTCTGAATGTGATAAAAACAGCTATTTAACATAAGCCCTAATATCATTTTTCTGAATAATGGCCTTTTTTGTACCCCTCAACATTGCACGCCAATGATGAATTAAACTGTTCACTCTACTAAATACTTCATTGTTCTAACATACAACCACCAGTGGAATTTCAAGAGAATAGCATCATAAATAACTGAGATATCAGGGTGTATTCATGAAAAGCGGGAAACACTGTATAAGTATGACTGTCGTTATCTCAAGAATTCAGGAATATGACTAGGATAGTGATATCATGGGTGTGATAAAGCGATGAGAGACCGCGGTGGCATTATTGAAGCGCTCTCTTTCTGGATATCACTTGTTTTTATATACCTATATAATTATTATTTTGTTGAATATTATTTCTGGCTTAATAAGTTTACTTTATTTTGGTTCTGTGGTGGCCGTGTAGTTTAGATAAAGTAAAAGTATATTCGAATATAATCTATGAATTTGAAACAAACAACTCCATTCGTTATGCAGAAAAAAATTGTAAATTTATACAACATATTAATTTCTGTTAATTTGAAAAAAAAAACAAAGAATGTCACATACATTCTGAAGGAAAACAACGAGTTACTCAAAGTGATCATTGAAGAGATGATTCTTTGAAGTTAATCTGTGCTTCAGATCCACAAAATCTCTTCAGTCAAAAATGTTTGTATTTTTTTGCTGGAACTTGCAATGAATCAAGATTTAAAAAAAAATCAGAATGAGTAAAAAATCGTTTTTTTTTATCGTTTTGACGTAAGACAACACGTGCTATATTGATGAATCACGTTGATTTCGAAGACAATAAACTCTTGTATACTTCTGATGCGGACATGACTAATTAATAGATAGCAAAGACTGATTTAAATTGCAAAGAAATCTGGTTGTATGTATCATCTGACATAGAATCTCCTAGTTCTCTGAAATTCCCGGACGGACATTCCGTATTATCAATCGTTCGACGATATTTGAAGGCATGTTTATAGATAGACTATACGAGTTTTCAGCAGATTTATGGGTAGAGAATATCGGGAATAAGTCTGTCTTCTTAATGCAATGTGTATCTCAATTTCTGTAAAAATATGAGATTTCTTGGTCTCTCCCTCCACCCTTCCATATCCTTTTAATTTTTTAAAAGGGATTGTTTATAAAACATATTTGAAATGAACTGTCATCTGTGACGTCAATCTTCATCTGTCCATTATCTCCGGAATAATGAACAGGGTCAACGGAAAGTGGGTGAAAATATAGTCACAAGATTTTATTACACATATCAGTTTCAGGTCAAAGTGATGAAAGTGTGCTGACAAAAACAATTCACTCACCTCGCCGCTTTGTGCCCTTCAAACGTATCGTCGAAGCTCTGTACGACGAATCCATCGTAATCTGCCTGACCCTCTCGAGAACCAGTCTGAGGCGAATTTTTCGCAGCCTCTTCGTCCTCGTAGTAGAAAGACAGCTTATAAGGCTGGTCGGTGGGTTCCAGAAGGCGTGGCTGAGTCACGAGGGGGGCGTGTACTGGCCCAGGGGCGTGGTCGAGAAAAGGGGCGTGGTCGGTTAAAGGGGAGTGGTCGGTTAAGGGGGCGTGGTCTGGCAAGTGGGCGTGGTCCGGAGCGGTTTCACTTCCAATGGCGGTCTCGGTGTTGGATATCGAGCTAGAATTGTGATTAGCGGCGTCTGTCAGTCAGTAGCATTTCTTCGTGCAAGCGCACTTGCGTACGATGTCGATGTCTTTGGTGTAGCGGGTGCCATCTTTGCATAAGAGTCTCACCTGCAGAGAAAAATGAAGTTACGGTTTGATAACAAGAAATACATATTCTTGTGTCTAGAAATGAGATTTTTGTGTTTAATAATGGAAGTTATTTCGTCGAGGTCAGTGCAAAAGCATTTCGCATTCGAGATGCAAACAATATTTTTTCGCCAACTGCATCAAAACGCGTTTCCAGTTATAACACGAATACAGAGAAATAGATAGATAGAGAAAAAAAGGGTGAACATCCTTGAAAACGTAGATCAGTTCGCCTGTTCAACATTTACGATCTAGAACGCTGAAGTATCTTGCGTTCCTAAAAATAAAAGTATTTCACAGCTTAGCGACAAAGGAGGGCCACGTCCATAACTGGTATTTTAACGAAAATGTCAACATTTTATTGTTTTCGGAAAAAAAATGTAAGATTTCTTACCTTTCTTCTTTTGCTTTTTCTTGCATGGCAACAGCTTGACCCGCAGCTGCCAATACATCTTGCCATCTTCAAGGGCTTCCTTGATCGACAGCCGTTTTCTGAGTAATGTTCGCGAACTTGTTCTTTTCTACAAGTTGGTGCTAAAAATAATGTTGGTTCATTAGTCATAAAGGTCACGCACGCTGATAATAGATACATCAGAGCAGAGTACGAAGGTTGTTTATAAAGAAAGGCATTCAAATTATTGTGAAGCATTACAAAGTGATACGAGGAGAATATTGCACCATTTAACACCCATTTTGTTTCCATATTGAGTCACCGTAGGAAAGCTGAAGCACAATGTTAGTACCCACAATTTCTCTCACCTTGCTCGCAGTTTTCACTGCAAAAGTCTCCACAATTCCAACAACTATCGAGTGAAATCTTTTATATACTTGAGAATCAATATAATATTGATCGGTTGTGATGACTGTGATTAGTGTTGTTTCTCATTTGATTAATATGTTTTCGGGTAAAAGTGCACTTATCATGCGATTTTTTTTTTCGAATTTTTTTTTGGTTGTTACATATTTTCGTTTGACACCACGAATTCCACAATGAAAATGTGAACAAACCGCCATCTATTGAGATTTTACGAAAAAATGCGAATAAATTTCACCATGTTTTGCCACCCATCTTGGATAGCCATTAACAACTATTTGTCCTTCTTTTTCCATCATTGGACACTTTATATACAAACGTTGTACTTCAATAACACATTTTATTACCTAAAATCAACAAGAAGTATGGTTTATTTGAATTTTTTTCATATTTCAGTGAGGTAAAACAATCACACCAGCTGACGGCCATTCAATTATTTAATCTATATACAAATCACAGAACTCGAAATACAAATACTAGATGTCAAATGAAAGTCAAATGTCAAGAACATTTTCAGGAAACTCGAGAAACCTATTGTTTACCTCACTAAATATGAAAAAATTCCAAATAAACCATACTTCTCACACTACAAAGTGTCCAGTGATAGATAAAGAAGGACAAGTCGTAAATGAGTATCGTAGATGGGTTGCAAAAGAAGGTAAAATTTTGCACTTCTTCATAAAATATCTCCATAAATAGCGGGTTTTTCACATGTTCATCGTAAAATTCGTGTTTTTCAAACAAAAATACGTAAGTACAAAAAACATTTTCGAAAAAAAAACCATCGCATGATAAGTGTACTTTTACCTGTTCTCGTTTTTCCTGGTTCTATGGCAGCTCAAGCTAGTACTTTCTGTCCCTTGATAGTGGATAAGTGGACCTTTCATTGGCTATATTTTACTCGACAAGAGTGAGGCATTTCATGTTATTTGGTAGTATCTACTGTCATCTCAAGTGTCACTTTCGGAATGTAAAAGTGTTCAAGAAGTTGAACATTCGACACCTTTGATACCTAACCCAAATTTACAATATGAGATCCTTCACCTTGAAAAATTGTCAATTGTTGTGCCATATTTTTCTACAGAGTTGAAGAGAGTGGAGGACGACAAAAAGTTTAGTTGAAGCAGATAATGTAGGAATAGAGTTGATCCAGGTTTCTTAGAAATGAAATATAGTTTTTCAATAGGATAGTGAACCTTCTTGTTGTCAGAGTGGATGACTTCGCAGTTGCCTCGGTAACCAGAGTCAAACAACGACCTTATAGTGTAGGCATCGATATGAGCCCCTATATTTTCATGTAATGGCCAAAATTGTTTCAAGTGGTTGTGGTTTCAATGATTATGATTGTGACTTTGCTGATGTGTCTCGACTTTTATTTTAGTCTGCTTTTCGACACTAAAGCTTCTCTTTATCTAATCCATTTCCGCTCCCTTACAGTTTTAGCTGAAGCAGAAAGTTAGCACCAACCAACTAGCAATACTTACACTCCTCACCTTGCTCGCAGTACTTGCCCCTGAAGCCGGGCCTGCACTTGCACGTGTATTCTCCGCTCTTCGCGGCTGCGCACTTGGCGTCGTTCTTGCACCTGTTGCCCTGACAGGGATCGGGGGGGCTGGGTGGCTCCCCCACCATCTCTTCCGTCTCGTCCTCTTGCTCTTGCTCTTCTTCCTCTTCCTTGTCCGGGCCACAGCCCGGCTGGACCTTTTGCTGCGTCTGCGCGTTGCCGAAGTCGACGGGCTTGTGGTTGATCCAGACCTCTTTCATGCAACCTACGGAGAGGGGAGTTTCATTTTTGACCATTTTTCATTCTACACTCACCCGCAAAAAACCCGCCACCAAATAATTTTACATAGAAGTCAGTCATAAATTTAGTCGGTTACTCAACCGAAAAGATACAAACAAGTGAGGTACGTAGTTTTTGAAAGGTATCAGAATAGTATAGATGTAGTTTTCATTAGGTATTAGATTAGTATAGAGGTCAGTATACAACGCTATAAAGCAGATGATATTTTATCATTGCTCATGTAAGATGGAAGTAGAGGCCATGGCGCCATATCATGAGCATATTTTTATATTGAAACTATCATTGGGCACCAAAGATGTGTATACGACGCTATGAAAGTTCAGAGAACTGGAGATTTTTCCCACAAACTACGTACTTAGCCCACTCGACTGTCTTGGTTTTTCCACACAAACTACATACCTAGCCCACCCGACTGCCAATAGGGACTAAAAAAACAAAAACAAAAAAAAGTTGAAACAAACCCAACATATTTCTTCTTTGTGGGAAATCAAGAAAGTCGAGTGAGCTATCTACGTAGTTTATTGGCGAGAAATCAAGACAGTCGAGTGAGCTAGGTACCTACGTAGTTTATGGAAAAAAATCAAGACAGTCGAGTGTGTTTTTTTTACTTTCTTTTGTTTTGTTTTCTATTGGCAAGTGATTATCTAGGAACTTGTAAATTTTTTAGTTTTTTCATCGTATCTCCCGAACTATTGAATTCAGAGAAAAATGTTATACGGATTTTTTGTATATTCTATCAAATGGAAAAATTTTGGTTCCATAACATTTTCAGATATTTTCAGTTGTTTTCGAGATATTTGGAATTATCTGAGAATAAAATTTTCAACACTTTTGTTCCATCTTCCAATCAACAAGAGGAAAAAATATTTCATGGTTCAGTGGAAGTCGATGAGCTTCATCTATCGATAATCTTTGTTTTTCAATATATCTTCATGGTACCCTATGGGTCGTTCAAATTTTTTTTTTCATATTTTTTACTTTATTTCCTGTACTATTGGGTTTACAGAAAAAATCATGGATGATAATTTGTAGGAAATGTTCCAGTGGATAACTTTGCACTTCTGATAATTTTCGATTTTTCCATTTGTTTTCGATATATATTGAATTGAAAGGATTTCAAATTTTGATGTTTTGATTTTTATTTGTTTTTCCATTTTTCGATGAATGCACGAAAAAATTGTAAAATAATAATTTGTTGCGTCATCAAAGAGGCATACGGTGCATTTTTCAAATTTGGATTTAGTCTATTGGTTCAGGAGATATGTCGTTTTGAAGCGAACCGTGTGTTTCGGAAAATCTCCTTGAAAAACCCGCTTGGAATTTTCCGACCCTGCTCAATTTCAATAGGCTTCGTCTCTCCCTGATAGAGTTTTTTTTCACAAAAAATGAAATCGATCGGACCACTTTTGCGATTTGTAGAGTGGTCACAAGAAACTTCCGGTGAAAAATCGAAAAAACCCGGAAAAACCACCTTAGAGTTTTCCGATTTCCTTCATATTTTAATGACATAATATTGTTTTGAGTACAATAAGATGGCTCCGGAGATATATCGATTTATGATTACCACAGAGTACAGACAGACAGACCACACACTAAAACCAAAGTTGCTCAAAATTCGATGGGGATCATTTTCTCCAAAGTAACTATACCTCTATCTCGCTTAGTTTCCGAGATAGCATATTTGGCAAGGCCGTAGTATACTCCACTATGTATAGCGTCGTATAACAAGGATGAAGATGGAAAGCCCTAATTTCGAGTGATAATGGGAAATGCAAAAACTCCACCGCCCGTGTGGGAGTCGAACCCACAACCTCTGGGTTCAATGCCCAACACTCTGCAAATTGCGCTAACGGGACACACCCGACTATCATTCGGCAGGGAGGTCGAGTTCTCATCACACACTAGGCGGCAGAATCCTTCCAATTCCCGAAGTCACTCGAAATCATGCACTATACGAATGGTACTATAAAGTCTCCGTATTTCCCCGTTCGTCCGGAACGAATTTGTGAAACACTCAGTATATTGAACAACAATACTCTCTGTCTCATACCCAGCCAACCATCGTGTGACATCAACATCCGTGTGATGTAATAACCTTGCATAAATGCAATATCTCGTTAACACATCTTATCGACGTAGATTCGATATCAACGTCGCAAGGTGACATTGCAACCAGGAAACTATGTAATGTGGCAGCGACTTCTTCAAACTACATCTCTTCGACGTTAACTAAATAATTCACATTGATATCCTCATGAGATATCTTCGTGACCTGTGAGTGTGACGCAGACATGCGCAAAACGAACGCACACGCCAGACGCCATGTTGAGCTGTGCATGGCCATGTCAGTCAGTCAGTCAGTCAGTGAGTGAGTCCGACTCCGTACAGACTATTTCCTTCCAAATTCTTTGTTGAAATATCTGAGATGATTTATAGCACATATTATATAGCAGCTTCAAATTGGAGGTATACAATCATTTAGGAACGACGGTGAGTTCAATCACTATTTATTATTATTATATTATTATTATATTATTATACTATAGGTAATATTGTAATTATCTCTGAGATAGGAATATTGCAATCTAAAACAAGGTGGATGAAAGATCCCAAGATAATGTAAGTGTATTTGATATGTATCATTTATGAATAATGTATATTTGTATTGCTATATATATGTGTCATGTTTTACTTCAAGATTACTAATTAGGGTGATTGTCATGATAAGTTTTGTATCATCTGTTTTTACTTTCGGAAAATAAACATTTTCTTCGTAAAGTTGAATAATTATTATTATTATATATCCCACGAATATCACAGGTACGGCGACCACATCATCGATGTCGCAGAGTGATGTATTTGTAATATGAAATGTAGACTTGTATGTGACCTGGTAGTGATTTTTCATGTGATGTCGCATTTCATGTCTGAACGACGTCACGGTAAATTGTTTGTGACTTCAAATGCGATATCGCATGTCACAAAGTGATGTGGCGTATACATCACTTATACATCTCATGGTTGGCTGGGTACTTGGGCAATAAATATTGGAAATCAGTTGATAAGAATTATCGATATCAGGAAACAAGTTTGAATTGAAAATTTTCATCCTGTATTTCAATTAGAGGCGAATTTTCGAAAACGTCTCGAGTTGATGGTCTAATATAAATAATGGATATCGAGAAGGCCGTTTCTGAATATACTGAATCGAATGGGCCATGGTTTTAGTCACCATTTTTGATTTTTTATACTGAAATGAGATTTTGTCCTATTTTCTTATCATCCTGTATATTCCACAATACTGCTTTTTTCGTCTTTCATTGTCCTCCACAAAACATGAGAACAGTTCTTCCCAATAGTCAGCTCAAGTGGAGTTCTAGAGAAAAAATTGAAGAAATGCAAGACAAAAAAATCGAATTTCTGTTCCAATCGCCAATTTAGGAGAAATCACGAAAACTTCCCGAGATGACGACTAATTTTTGATCAGAAAAAAATTCTCGAGTTCTGGCAGCATTGGAAATGTAGACCATAGTGTAATGGTTCCACTTTACACCATGTGTAATTTTTGTTCTGCTGACTTTTCCCGAGTGTTCCAGCTATCTCTGAAGCCGATGAAATATCACATCTGATATCGAAAACCGCATGAAGATCGGTCAATTTTTTCAAAAAATACAGGTCTTCGAAATAGAGTCAAATTATGAGTGGTCCATTTAGTGTGTTGAGAACTGTAGATAACAGCAATTCCTAAGGGAAAATCACCACTCACCATGAAAACTAGTGATATTCCTCAAGTGCCACTGTGTGAATGCCTCTTGGCCTGGCTCAGGCGGTATTCCCCCCAAATACATGGGCGTGGTTAACCTCAAAAAGTCCTTGGAGCCTTCGTTGATGATGCTCCTAGCCAATCCTCTGTCCACCCTCAAAGTGAAGTTCTTCTTTATCGCTATCAACTCTGCTATGTGATACTGGCCATCGGAAACCATTTCGTAGCTGCAAAGTCATTTTCATGTCATAAAAGGTTAAAAAATTAGAGATGGTTAGAGTATTCATTCAAAGATGTTTGTATGTATGCCTACAAGGCTGAATTATATTGATCAACAATTAATCATCACACTTCACGTTGTTGTCAATCTGTGGATGAATATTTGAAACTTTTTCGCCGGTTTGAAAAATACTGGCGCAGTCGGTAGGACATGTCTGAACTTATATTGTGATACTATTTTGGGACGAGTTGCAAACAACATTCTTTCTACAAACGTTAAAAAATATAGTTCTAAAGTAAGTATGCTTAGCTCAATATAAAAAATAGTGTTGAACTGGTTTAAAACGCCCTAATTATTAACATTCAGAAGTAATAAATGATTTCTTGGATGTTTGCCCGATTGAGGAAGATAAAGGTTGAATACAAAAATATCATATAGTCAACATATAATGTGCGATGTACTGCATGCATGCAAGCTAAGAATAAAAAGATAGGAATAGCTCATATACCTTTATATTGTTGATAATTTTGTCATTTCTCTAAATCTCTAAAAATCTACACCTACATAGAGGTAGTTTATCAACTGAGCAACAAAAAATTATGAGTGAGTATATAAATTAATCGATATTTATATAACACATCATAAAGAAATATTATATAAATGTAATATCAAGAAAATATATCCAAAAACGATGATAAGAATTATTGAAACAAAATTGATGACTTCACATCGGAATTACAGATATATGCTTGGTTATGGTATGGATATTCTGCTTTCTACATGATATAATTTTATATGTATATATTATTTGGTAAATTGATTGTAGCAGCTCCAGCAAAAAATACCATACTCCGCGCGTCGTCGATCCGTTTGAAGTTTAAACAATCAGAAAAAATCTTCTCTATCTCTGGTTAGTTACAGTTATCAAAAAAATAGAAGATGAAAACTTCAACCCGAAATTGTCTGTATTGACAAATGTCAGTGAACAGAGAATTAGGCAATCCAATTCACGTTAGAATCAATATGGCGGCTGGTTGGCACCATATATATGAAATCAATAGAATGATGTTACAAAAACAATTGAATAGTTACTGTTTCTGATTTTCTTTGTTTATATGACTTGTACTTCTGATACCAACAGGAATTCGCGTATAAAAACGGTTTATCATTATGTAATACAAGTGATATCATTTTGCCAGAAATATTCGGCGAATGTTATGACAGCTTGTTGCCTAATAATTTCGCCGAGAATGACATTGTTTATCAAAACTTTCGAGCCGTTGGCGAGAAGTTTTGGAACAATGTCATGAGCGAAATTGAAGCAGCAAGCTGAAGTATGTTGATGGACGATCATTTCCAGCAAAAATAGTATCACGAGTTGTATTCGTATGAGTATTCCATGATTGAGACAATAAACGAGCGGCTTGCGAGAGTTGCGCACACTGCATCCATCATTCTGGCTTCCAACATAACTGACGTTTTGAACGACCAAAATTCTATCGCTGAAAGGTTGGTCACGTGTGGGTCAATTCTGCTTCTGTATTGGTAGAGCAAGTCCGATAAAATTTAATAAACGAAAAAATATCGCTGTAATACAGAAGAAACCGTGAAAATGGCCGAATCTGATTGATTCTAGAGACCACGAGTGGAATAGTCATACATAAATAATTCCATTGTTCGCCAACCAGCGCATAGTTTGACAGGTCATTGAATTGCCTAATCAACCATTCCAGAATTACTCCATTTGACACTTTTGACAAGTTGTTGGAGGGCAAACATTGTATTGTGTCATATGAAACCAGAAGTAGAGTGGAATAGTTTTCTTTGGAATCCGAGTTGAAAAGAATTCCATGATTTTGTATGGTGAATCTATATTACATAACAGATAGCTTGTGATCCCTTCAAGAAACTATGTCAAAATCACGTGTTCTAGAATGGCCAATATTATTCCTTGCCAACTAGGTTTTCAGTCTGAATGATAATGGCCGAACAGACAGGACAGAGAAAATTGACTGACTTTTCTGGCGCAGTCGGTAGGCAGTCCGTTTTTCTTACCTGTACATCGTTGAAACGGGATAGTTGCCAATATCGTAACTGACTCTAATTCTGCCATTGAACAGTTCCACGGCCAAATGCTCCTGATGACCGTCGTACATTAGCACGCCATTTTCTTGATTGGTAGCGAATATAATTGTAACGTTCGCTTCTGGTTTCGTTCTCAGCGGTTCCAATTCAACGTACGAAGTGTTGTGAACGAAACTGAGACTCGTCAAATATTCGCAACGTTTGCCTGTGAAAAAAGTTATGTATATAGTCATATAACTAATTCGACGTGATCTGAAGTAACAAGTAGATGTCATTTTAACTATAAACGTGGAACACTTTCCAGTGTGATTTCACGGTACTTGCCCCAAGGAGGACAAAAAAATCCAGAAATTTGTTTTGTTTCTATGGTAACGAAACAAAATACAGGATTTTATTTGGTGGGAAATGCTAGGTGTGAAATTATCGCGTCAGTTGATGGATTCTTCTTACCCGAATAGCCCGGTGCACATTTGCAAAGATAGTCGTTGCTGCCCGAGGGCTGGAAACACACCCCGTGGACGCAGTCGTGGTGTTGACAGGGCGACGTTTGGGGATACATCATCGCCACCAAGGGGGTTATCTCGCAGAATTTCCCGCTGTATTCCCCGGTGCACTTGCAAAAATATTCGTTATCTCCATCGACACATGTCGCACCGTTCTAGGAAAAAAATTGAAAACTGACAATTATTAAATGAAATACCTAACTGGGGGCAGCTATATTATTTGATGACGACTGATTACTGTTTCAATTTCGCACAGACTGCCAGAACCTGACAGCGAATTGGCATTTCATTACTTTGTTCCGATATTCTTGAATGATCAGTTATCAGATATTGGCGTAGTCGGTAGGATGAGTTGGGAGAAAACTCGGATTCCAAGTGTGACTCACCTGGCACATATTATTCTCGCAATCGTCGACGTTTACGGAGCAGTTCTCGCCCTTAAAACCAGGTAGACACTCGCAAGTGTAATAAATATCGTGATCAACGCAACGAGCACTATTTTTACAAGGATTGTACTGGTCAGTACAAAAGGGAATTTTCCGCTCGCAATAGTCGCCCATGTACCCTGCGGGGCATTTGCACTGGTAAGAGTCCACCAAGTCCACACAGGTGGCGTTGTTTTGGCACTTGTTGTTGAGGCAATCGTCGATGTTGTGCTCGCATCGAACGCCGGTGAAGCCAGGAGCACATTGACAGCTGAAAAGTCACAAAAATCTGATTTGTCAATTTTATCACCATGGAAATGTGCGACGGAATACTGAACGGAGATTAATTATTTGTGTTTGGTCGGACGGAATACTGAACGGCGATTGATTATTTGTTATTTGGTCGGACGGAATACTCAACGCCGATTAATTATTTGTGTTCGGTCGGACCGAAGACTGAACGGTAAACGCCTAGATAATGAGTTTGGTCTGAAGACTATAGGGACTTATAAGGATTTGATGTCATTTTGATTTTTGACCTCTCGATATTTTCTGATATTTTCTTTACCTGAACCTCCCTTCTTCGAGGAGTTTGCACGTTCCTTGGTTTCGGCAGGGGTTTCCATAGCAAGCATCTATCATGAACTCGCAATTTTTTCCGTGGTATCCAGGCGCACATTTGCATTGGTAGTCCCTTTCTGGCATCGTCTGGCATTTTCCATCATTCTGGCATGGGAACGTGTAGCAAGCGTCGCATTTGGCCAAAATTTCATTGCTGATTTCACCTGAAACCATTATGACAATAATTAGTCATTCGTATAATTGATTATTTTGTTGGATTACTTATACTTTATTTAATCTTCAGTTCCACTGAGGATCCTGGTTGACCAAATACTTGGCATAATTCTTAATATTTTTGTGATGTTTGGGGTATATTTTTGTATTAGATGAAGAATATAGAATTTACCTTTACATATGAATGCAGTCGATGGAGTTGAGAGGATCGATTTATCCTTCATATTAGGGGGCTCAGCACAATGAGCTATGCCAGGTTCCACGTAATCTACTTTCACCCAATCAGACAGCCATCTTAGTGAACAGTCACAATAAAGTGGATTCGATCCTAAAGCTCTGAAAACATGAGAAATCATTAGTTTTTTTTGCCTTTGCATTGCAATATTTGGAAGACTGGTGAGAATGAAATCAGTGATGACTTACATGTGGCTTATCGCTTTCAGATTGGTGAAACTTCCTTCTGGTATCAGTGAGATTTGGTTACCATGAAGAGATCTGAAATTGATAGGAAGAATTATATCGTCTTATTAGATTTTTCCATTTTCAACTCACAGTATCCTCAAAGATATCAGATCTTGCAGAGAGTCTCTTTGAACGCACTGCATCTTGTTGTAGCTCAAAATGAGAGTCGACAGTTTGGAAAGATTTAGGAATGTACCATTTGACAGCATTCTGATCTTATTGTTGCTTAAATCTCTGAAAAATTAATTCATGAAAAATCTGCAGAGGTTGTAGTCCATACTCATTGCAGAGTGGGATGATCAAGAAACGAAAATCTCGGAGTTGTTACATGATATTTTATGTGAACTTACAGCCTTGTTAGTGATTTCAGGTGACTTATCCTGTCGGCTTGTATCCTGTCGATTTCGTTGTAGTCTAGATATAGTTCAGATGTTTCTGGCGGTATACCTCGTGGTATTTCAATGAGTTTGGCCCTTGAGCACCTGACGACTGTGCCGGTACAAGAGCACATGGGTGGACAATAGTTTTCACCCAAGCAGCCTTGATCGTTTTCACCTGAAAAAATGTTTTTTTGAAGATTCGATATTGAATGAAACTATGTATTTTATTAACTTGTTTTCATCGAGTATATCCATACTACAGCGGAATTTTGTACACTCGCGATAGATTTCTTGTCTGTATAATACGTAGGAAAATTTTCCAAATTTCTATCCTATTAGAAAACAAATAGCAGTGATGTACCAAAGTAGCACACATATATTGGGACAATATCGATGCAATATTACGAAAATACGGGCAAAATATTGAGAACGTAATATACGCGTGAAACAAAATGTGAACATTTGGCGATATTGGTACTATATTAGTTTCAAAATGTGGGTGGAATATTCAACCAATATATGCTGTAGTTTTTGAATTTAAATTATACAATCTTATTTTTTACTCCTGAATTTATTCGACAAAATTAAGACAAATTGATATTGAAATGCTAGTATAGGTATCTATATACAGGCTGACTGACAAAAAACGCGCCGCTATTCACTTTCCAATTTTTTTTGAGTTGAAATTGGAAAAAGAAATTGTTAGTGTCACCTTGTAGTATCTATAAATCATTTAATTCGGTTTTATGTTTCTCAAAATCGGATAGTCAATATAGCTGCACTATATGGCTTGGAGCGTTTTTTGTCAGTCAGCCTGTATATTCCGAAAACGGTGCACATTATCAAATTTCACCAATAGAAACTCACCTTTTGGTGTATAATTGAATAATATGTGGTCAAATTCACATAATATTTTTACTAGAAAAAAACCTCAAAAAAGTTTTGTTCTAACACACTCGGTAACAAACCGCGTACCTAACTAGCACCATCTGTGACAGTCGGATATGAAAATGAATTTATGCGATGTGTCATCTTCCAAAACATATTCATGCAAAGTTTCATTGCAATATTACCAGTAGTTTCGACATAATAATAAAAAATGTGCATAAAAATTGTTTTTTTCAAAAGCTTGTACTTATCGTGTAAACGGAAGCTGTTAAATTTTTTACTGAAATTTTTTTTTTCATTTTTCGATATTCTACCTATATGCCGTCTAGCAACGGGGTAATCTTTTTTCCAAACACCCTCTATTAATCGATCAATATTTGATTGTGAATTATTTGAATGAAGTTTCGTGGAGAAAAATGTCCGCAATCAATATTTGAACACTCGTTCACTTACTGGTGCATTTGAATTCTGTTTTAGGCAGTTCCTTGATCAACACATCCTTCACCATCTCTGGTCCGAAGCATCTCGGAGATGAACCACTCAAACCCTTATTCTTGAGCCACTCCGAAAACCAAGCGAGATGACAGTTGCATATGAACGGATTCTGAACTAGATTCCTGCAAAAATATCCAGTAGTAACAGTAACATAACTATTTAATTTTTGTAAATATGCAGAAAATTCCATAAATCAAAACTGTATTCGATTTCTTTCCAAAACCATACTTTAAATTATCCAGGGATGATTGCACTAGTGACTAGTGCGATGGGCATGAGCAGCAATGGAGTCATGGATATACAGGGTGTATCTAAATAACACCGAAAAAATTCAAGGGGTGATATTCTAGCAAATAAAGATCATATGAACATGTATCCTAACTTGCTCCGTTTTTGGGTTACAGGATGTTGAAGTTTGAAGTATCAATAACTGTTCTCATTTATAACCCCCTGTATTGTTCATGGTGCCAAAATTCAGTATGGTTAGAGACTGAGGAAGCCCTTAAATTTGAACATGATTGTAATTGGGGTTATTTAGTAATCTCAATGGAAGGCCTCAAAAACTAAGCTTGATACTAAAATCATACAGAGGCTAAAAAAGTTGTTTTTTCAATAGTTCAATCTGATGAAAATATGAAACTCAGAAAAACCCGTGGCATACAATGACATTCACCATAAATATCGATAAATTTACCCACTGTGACGCCACTGGAAATATTATTTCGAATATAATTGCACCAGAAGAAGCTCCATATTGCTATTAACAAAACCACAATGTTTCATTGAAATTGATGAAAAGACATTTGAGTAATGAATTAAAAAACGATTTTTCATGGAAATAATTAATAATTATACCCTGAACTTTTTCTGATTGTTGTTCAAGGACAAATAAACTTTGAGGTTGAATGAACGCCAAGAAACATTTTGTTGTGGACTTTCAGGGATTTTGCAAACAATATATACACCAACCAAGGCTTCTTCCTTCTTCTTGATGATAAGGTTGAAATGAAAATATCTAACGACATGTAACCTGCTATGATTTGATAGAGTATAATTTGAAATTCAGGGAAACTCCCTCATTCTTATACTTCCGAAACTTACAGCGGTGTGTAGTGATTGGAGGAAATCGAAAGACCCTGGCATCACGCAAGTAATCTGATTGTTGTTTAAGGACAAAACTTTGAGGTTATATGGACGCCGAGAAGCGAGAAACATTTTGTTGTGGACTCCCAGGGGTTTAGCAAACAATATACCTACCAAGGCTTTTCTTCCTTTTTCTTGATGATAAGTTGAAATGAAAATATCTATCGACATGTAACCTGCTATGATTCAATGGAGTATAATTTAAAATTCAGGGAAACTCCCTCATTCTTATACTTCCGAAACTCACAGGGTGTGTAGTGATTGGAGAAAATCAAAAGACCCTGGCATCACGCAAGTAATCTGATTGTTGTTCAAGGACAAAACTTTGAGGTTATGGAAGCCGAGAAACATTTTGTTGTGGACTTCAGGGGTTTAGCAAACAATATACTCAGACTTTTTCATTTTTCTTGATGATAAGGTAAAATGCAAATAATATACCTATCTACCGACCTGTAACCTGCTAACACTGCTATGATTTGATGGAGTATAACTTGAAATTCAGGGAAACTCCCTCATTCGTAAACTTCCAAAACTTACAGGGTGTGTAGCGATTGTAGAAAATCGAAAGACCCCGGCATCACGCAAGTCATGTGATTATTGTCGAAGGGAAAAACTTTAAGGTCATGAAGGACGACAAACATTTCGTTGTGGACTTCCAGGGGTTTAGCAAACGATATACTCAGGCTTTTTCCTCTTTCTTGATGATAGGGTGGAATGCAAATGTCTACCGACATGTAACCTGCTAACATTGCTATGATTTGATGGAGTAGGCAAAATTTGAAATTCAGGGAAGGTTTTCCATTCTTAAACATCTAAAACTCAAGGGGTATGTATGGATCGTAGAAAATTGAAATACCCTGGCATCACGCAAGTAATTTTATTGTTGTTCAAGGACATAACTTTGAGGTTATGGAGGCCGAGAAACATTTTGTTATGGACTTCCAGGGGTTTAGCAAACAATATACCTACCTACCAAGGCTTCTTCCATTTTCTTGATATCTACCGACAGGTAACTTGCTATAATTTGATGGAGTATAATTTAAAATTCATTCTTATTCTTTCGAAACTTACAGGGTGTGTAGTGATTGGAGAAAATCAAAAGACCCCGGCATCACGCAAGTAATCTGATTGTTGTTCAAGGACAAAACTTTAAGGTTGTGAAGGCCGAGGAACATTTTGTTGTGGACTTCCAGGAGTTTGTTTTCCGACAGGAACAGCTCTGAAATCTTCGAGGCTCCTTCGAAAGAGTTCTCCTCGATGCCTGTGATCAGGTTTCTTCTCAGGTCCAATTTCACCAGGTTGGGTAGGCGGCCGAAAAGTCCATCGGACTTTATCCTTCCCAGTTCGTTGTCATGCAACAATCTGAAACATCGACGATATAGGCACGGATTTTGGGAGATGTGCCTTTTTGAAATCCGGACTGGTTCGAAAATTAAGTTCTTCAAGACGCACATGAGTAAGGGCCACTTTATAAAAATCTTTAAGTCTTGACATTTATCACCTAACATATAATACTCTGGCTGCCGGGACCCTATTTTTCTCTCTCTATTACAGGCTTTGTCAGTCATATGTGACCGACGGTGACTTATAAAAAACGGTGCTTGGCTGTGATTTTTAACCGACTGCAGAAGTTTCAGTTCGCGCCGTGTCATGCGAAAACGACTGACGATGCATTCAAATCACCATTAGATCTGAGTTCGCGGCGCTCAAATGAACGTATGTGAATTTTCGTGGTGCTCACTATGAAATTCATAGCTACAATAATGCCTCAAAAACGTTTATTGTATAAAATGTGAAAAAACTCATGAACATATCTGGATCTAATTATTGTTGGAATGAGTTCTCACATGACATTTGACATTCAATGCACATAGATGGCATCCCTTGGCAGTCTTCTCAATGCGTCCGCACTCTCTTCACCTCAGTTTTAGCCCCCTTTCTTGTACATATTGTTTCACGACATTTTTGAAACAAATTGAACAATTTTTCTAGCTTTCGACGTTTTATCCTTTTGCTGTTATAGCAAATCTTCCAACCCCCGTGAGTTTATCGATAAATTAATAACTAATAGGAGTATCCCAGCCAACCATCGTGTGACATCAACATCTGTGGGATGTAACAACCTTGCATAAATGCAATATCTCGTTAACACATCTTATCGACGTAGATTCGATATCAACGTCGCAAGGTGACATTGCAACCAGGAAACTATGTAATGTGGCAGCGACTTCTCCAAACTACATCTCTTTGACGTTAACTAAATAATTCACATTGATATCCTCATGAGATATCTTTGTGACCTGTGAGTGTGACGCACACATGCGCAAAACGAACGCACACGCCAGACGCCATGTTGAGCTGTGCATGGCCATGTCAGTCAGTCAGTCAGTCAGTCAGTCAGTGAGTGAGTTCCAAATTCTCTGTTGAAATATCTGAGATGATTTATATATATTATAGCAGCTTCAAATTGGAGGTATACAATCATTTAGGAACGACGGTGAGTTCAATCACAATAGGTAATATTGTAATTATCTCTGAGATAAAAATATTGCAATCTAAAACAAGGTGGATGAAAGATCCCAAGATAATGTAAGTGTATTTGATATGTATCATTTATGATTAATGTATATTTGTGTTGCTATATATATGTGTCATGTTTAACTTCAAGATTACTAATTAGGGTGATTGTCACGCTAAGTTTTGTATCATCTGTTTTTACTTTCGGAAAATAAACATCTTCTTCGTGAAGTTGAATAATTATTATTATTATATATCCCACGAATATCACAGGTACGGCGACCACATCATCGATATCGCAGTGTGATGTATTTATAATATGAAAGGTACATTGGTATGTGACCTGGTAGTGAATTTTCATGTGATGTCGCATTTCATGTCTGAACGACGTCACAGTGATGTTGCTTGAGTCGGACATTTTCACATCGCCACGTTGTATCGGTAACATGTTTGTGACTTCAAATGCGATATCGTATGTCACAAAGTGATGTGGCGTATACATCACTTATACATCTCATGGTTGGCTGGGATACAAGGATTTTTACTTTATACATTGAAAAAAAATGCCTTGTCAGGCCGCGTCCGTCGATTTTAGCTGACATACAATGTCTGAGCAGCAATATGCTGATCACTTAGATGCTTCCTACTCTGAAAACTTCGCGTGGCCTGACGCATTCGAACCAATGAAAATGAATCGGCTCAGCACGAGATCAAGCTGTCGGTCAAAAATGACATGGCAGTCAGTGTTGAGACGTACATGGGTCATAAATTCCATGGGGTTGATTTACATTTATTTATTATAATTTACAGCGTGTAACATTCTTTGCGGGACAGTTTATAGAAAATTTATCGAATCACTCCGGTTTTTTGGCCACATCTCGCTAATAGGAATAAAGATCGATCTTACAGTTCTGTCGTATACAGGGGGATGTCTCTGGGAATTTCCTTCAATGTACGACCGGAGCAATCGACTATGGTACCGTCGCAGGAACATCCAGAGGGACAAGCATTGTCGATAAGGCACTCTCCTGCATACCTCGTTCGGAATTCTTCTTGACCTGTCATTTGGAATATACAGGGTGTTATTCAAGTATGTGGCCAAACTTCAAGAGGCGATTTATTCAGTGATGCTAAGATGAAAACTTTATATATATATTGGATCTTTCTTTTATTTGATTCAGACCAGGGAAGAGTCCCTCTTATCCTGATATCTATTATGAAACAAAATGAAAACGGTATTGACGTTTGATGCGAACAGCCCTTCTGCCCCAAATAAGTTTCAGGAATACATTCTGAGAATTGAAAAAGATCGAACGGAATGAATGAATATCAAACACTTGAGAATAGTAAATTTGGTCATAATGTCGATATTTTCTCTAGTTTATGGACAATCTCGGTCTTTTGAATTTGACCACCTGGGTCATAATCAACTGCATTTCGAAATAGCTGATTCTCATGAATCTCAGCTTTTTCGAAAGTCTTGATGTTTCGTTCTCTAATGACTGACACGATTGAAGGGAGTTTCAGATCCCTGGCGATCTGGTTATTCCGAACATACCAAGGATATCCTGTCACCATTCTCGCGATTTTGTTTTGTAATGTTGGTAATCTGGTGATATGAGATTTAGCTGTGTGGCCCCAGTCTACTTCAAAACTTGCTGTTCAATGTGCTGGGCCCAGGTGAACTTTTTGTCAATGCACACACCTAAGTATTTAACTTGTGAAGACCACAATAACTCATGACCATCCAGGACTATTCTGGTTCTGGGAGGCCTCCGCTCCCTTCCGAGTGCGACCAATTGTGTTTTTGCAGGATTCATTGATCTTCCATCTTAGGAAGTACTCCTGAAGAGAATTCAGCGTGCTTTGGAGGTTCATAGCTGCTTGCTCGAAATTTGTCGAATATGCAAGAACTGCCGTATCATTAGCAAAAAGCGACATCTTGCACATCACTAGTCTCGGCAAATTCCTGGTATATAAACTTTATATGAACATACCTCAAAAAATACATAATTTCAAGATACACATCAGTGTCAAGCTTTTTGAAAAAAATAGGTTTTTCGTAATAATTGTAATAATGGCTCAATTAGTAGGTACTTTGCTCTACTACAAATAACCCACTGCAATATAAACATAATTAGATCAGAGATTTTTGCAATATTTACGGAAGAGCGATTCTTTTTTCAAATCTTTGACACCCTCTGTATCTTGAAAACGGTGTATTTTCGGACCCTTATTTACAGGATAACTTTTCCACTTAAAATCACTCGAAAAATCGACTTTTGAAGTTTGGCCACATACTTAAATAACACCCTGTAATTCGTTATACAAGGTGGTTCCAGATCAACGTGCAATAATTTTACAGGGTTAATTCGAGATGTCCGTTGAGCTGAAGAATAATTATATATCTTCAGATTTTTTTGAATATTTATAAAATCCTTGATAGCAGGTACTGCTCTGAAATTCGTAGGGCAATTACAATTTGATCGATATACAGGAAGAATATTATTTTGCATTATCTTCGAAGAGAATCGATATAACTTTTGGTACGCCACTGATTATTTCTCTATATTTATGCACAAAAACGGCCAGGACTGTAACTTTTGAATTATTCGAGATATGGTTTTGAAAATTGGTGGGTAGCAAGTATACCAAATTGCTCATTAATCGATGAAACAGTTTTTTTCTATCACTTCCAGTTTCACCGGAAACGACCCCAACTTTTGATTTTCAAATGGGACACCCTGTATTGTATTCCATAATCGGCTAGGGATTATCATGACGAATTCAACGATACCGGGTTTGATAGGGTTATTTCAAACAATTACAAAGATATTTACGTTCGAAGTTTCGATATGCTCAATGCGTGTTTCTTCGCAATATCAAAACTTCTTTCTCTGTCACACTCATTGAGCATATGGAAACTTAGAACGCGAATATCTGCGTAATCGTTTGAAATAACCCTATCAAACCCGTTATCGATGAATTCGTTAAGACAATTCCTTACTGATTATGGAATACAATACAGGGTGTCCCATCCGAAAATTGAAAATTGGGGACGTTTCCAGTGAAACCGGAAGTGATAGAACAAACATTGTTTCGTCAATCAATGAGCAATTTGGTATACTAGCTTCCCACCAATTTTCAAAACCCTATCTGGAATAATTCAAAAGTTACAGTCCTGGCCGTTTTTTGTGCATTTCTCTGTATACAGCGTCTTATATACATCAAACGCCCCCCCTCTATGTCTCAGCTATCAATCGTCCGATTCTCACCAGATTAAGACCAGTATAAATAACCATCACCAGTTTTTCAGAGACGGACATCATGCTGGACAGTGCCGTGCGTTTTTATTAAAATGAGAATGGTTATTTTTTTTTCAGGAAAACAGGCACATTAAAACAGCATTTTTGCATAGTTGAGTATAATTATTCACTGGGAAACGGTGAGTTCAACAAAAAAAGTAAATCTTGTTTTTTCTTCAGAACCATAATTTCCTATCTACCAGACCTATAATAACCTCTAAAAAATTTGCAGTTGTTTTGAATTCACTATTTTTTCGAGACCGAAAATATGGAAATGAAACCGATCCTGTTAGTTCCGAATTAGGTGATTTCTTTGGCCTATGGAGGTTCGAAAGCATAGAGAACAATAATATGAAGTTAGTTATTCTACTAAAAATTCCTAATATAATTTCATTAAAATATACCTCTTTTCATTTCGATAAGAACGCAAAAGGTACTTTCCAAAATGATGTTCGTCTCTGACAAACTTATCATATTGATGGTAATTCATATACAAATTTGGTACGTATCGCACGACTAATAGCTGAGAGATACAGGGTTGCCGTTTAAAGTGAGATACGCTGTAGAAATCACTATACAAATAACATTCTAATTATTCAAATGTGTTGAAGAATCAAGCTTCTACAAAGGGTCGCTGGAAATTACGGAAACAGACAAATAATAATATAAGAACAACTCATTAAACCAGAAAAAAAATCATGATAATATTTTGAAACCACTAGTCAGTTAATTTTTTAAAACAAATACAATTAACAATTCTCGACATATTCTCCATTGATTCAGAATGCGAAAGAAATTTTTTTTAGATATAATATACCATTATTTATTGTTTCCACACTTTTCCTGCGACCCTGTATAGTGAAAATGGATGAACTAAAAAAAAGTAACACAAGAAGCATTATATATACAGGGTTAGGATAAAGTATGGAACCAAGCAAATATCTCGGTAAACGTTTGTTAGATTTTTCTGAATTTATGCACAGGATGATTTCAAAATGTGTCGAATTTGAAAATGTTATCGCCAATATTGCCACTTTTCCTTTTTTGCCGGAATTATTATCAACTTCCTTATTTTGAATAGAACACCCTGTATTTTAATGAATTTTCAGATTCATCACACTTGGGGTCTAGCGGGAATGATTACAGAGATATACCTAGGGTGTTCAAAATCGAGATTTTTCAACTTTAGGATTTTTTGTGTCGAAACCATTCATTATTGGTCAAAACGGCTTACATGTTCGTATCTTGAGTTTCGATTTACTATCTACTAACATCTAATTGAAACAGATACAGGGTGATCAGAATTCTGAATTTTGAACCACCCGTATTCGTTCCAATTAAATGTCAGTAGATAGTAAATCAAAAGATAGTTGCTTGGTTTCATACTTCATCCCAACCCTGTATACAGCATTATCGACAAAAAGATGAATGTTGAATGAACACACCATTACCACTGATCTAGTGGGAAGGGCGCTTACCCTTACATTTGAACTTTTCGTCTTTGAGTGACTCGATTCTTCGTCTTTGCATTCGTTTCGGAGTTTCGCATCTAGCTCCAGAAGTTTCAATGGGGTTTCGGTGTAGGTATTCTGCCAGCCATTTCAAGTTGCAGTCACAGATGAAAGGATTCCTGGCCAAATGTCTAAAGAAACGTTTGAATAATTTTCGTGATTTCGTTTCAAGATATAGTGTTTATGTTTACATTCGTATTTTGAAATGAACACTCGTGAGTCAAAAATGTGTAGGTACCGATCTTTCTGGAGATGATATGAAGTTTGATGAATAATCTAACATCCCAAAATTTATATCGCGGGAGATAATATACAGGGTCTGCGCTAAAACGAGGTCAATCCATTAACCATATATTCCTTGAACAAAAACAATATGAGTTTCTAGATACCATTTTTCATATTAGCCCTTCATATTCGATATACAGGGTGTCAAAGTTGGAAATTAAAAAATGTTTTTTTATAATTACTCGCGTATTTGATAAGATATTAATCTCAAAATTGGGAACTTACTTCAACACAAAGAGTTACATCGTGTGAGGAAAACAACACAGAAAATAACTGTCAAATATTCAAAATATAGGGGGAGAAGTACACACCTACCCCCATATTTTTTTTGTACGTGCGCTATTGACTTCAAATCTATTTTTCTTCAAGTGTTCAATCATCTTTGAGTATTTTTTGTGTCCTGTTAAATTTCGATAAAATTATTTGTTTTTAAAATAATTCGAAAAGTACTGGTTATTGTATATTAGATACAAACATGGCAACACTGCCTAGTTGTCAATCCAGCGCATTCACTCGAAATAAGTGTCTCCTTATTCTAATTTTTTCGAAAAATCTGTTTCTATGGAGTTCCAACAGGTCAGGGGTACAGGAAAATCACGTAGTTAGCTAGATAATTATTGAATCACCCAGTATATTTCGTGCAGACCATATAATACTCACAGTGTTTGTATACTTTTCATTGAGTCAAAGCTACCATTGGCAAGAGACTGAATGTTATTGTCATAAAGAGACAACAAGCTCAAGCTGTGCAAGTCGAGAAAAGTATCTTTTCTTATACAGGTGATTTCGTTCGCATTAAGTAACCTGAAAAGAGAAATATTTATGAATAATCATGATTTAGAACTAATGTTTTTGAAGCAATTACTTACAGAAGCTGCAGTGAAACTAGGCCTTGAAATACTCCAGCTGGAAGATCTTTAATTTTGTTTCCATACAAAACTCTGAAAATGAAAAATGTTTTTTTTTGTTCAAGTCTAATGTTGATGAAGATAATTGTAGCACTTACAGTGAAGTTAGGGCCTTGAGTCCTTGGAAGGCATCTGGACTGACTTTCGAAATTTTGTTGTTGCTCAGATCACTGTAAAATTCAAAATAATTCACTGGGAATATAATAAAATATATCTCTTCTGAAGTAGTTCAGAAAGGAAAAATCTTGAAGTCGTCTCTACAAATATTTCAATAGCAAAGTGCAGCTGAAGAGGGTTGAGACATGTTTTGACCTCTCAAATGGTCATCATCAGTCATGTGAATAAATCAAATCTACAAATAAAAAACCTTCGTGAAGCGGCATTAGCTGCATTTTGCTATTAAAATATTTGTGGAGATTTTTCTTTTCTTGAAATAAATGTCTTTCAACCTTATTTTGTTGATGAATTCATTTTTTGCTCTAGTAATGACTGAAATGTAGTACCTATATCGATAAATGTAGAATATATGGAAAATATCTAGAGACAAGAATTTTTGAATTCGGCTCTTTAATCACCATGATGATATTATCTGAAATTAGTGAAATCATAAGATATCTGATTGACTATGTCTGAATGATGAATTTTTAATATGTGCAATAGTTGGTCTATTCATCATGTATTTGTTGTAATAGTATTACATAAATTAAAGCCACTTTTCTGTTGTTATCCGTGTTTGGCTCACTGTATACATCAATCATAAATGCGTCATCGTCATCCAATAGAGATACTTGAGATTTTACGTACTGCGCCCCAATTGGCCAGCAAAAAAAGAGGCTCACAGTGTTGTCATATTGTGACGATATTCTGAATATTTCTAACAATATTTCATAGTTGATTAGCACAAAAATACATCAACGACAATCCGGCGCAGGAATTTGGAATTTGATGTGTTTACCGTGTTTATTGATTCATGAAGTTTTTTGTATTCAGGATTTTCCTTCCCCAATACATTTGAAAGAAAATATGCTCATTAAAGAGTCATATATTTATCAATTCATTCTATCTGGAATCATCAATGGTGTAGCTACAGATCAATGAGTGGCAGGGGCGGACTGGCCCGGAGGGCGGGAGGGCGAAGCCCTCCGCGCCTTTGCCGAGTGGCGCTCTTGCCCCTGGTATACTAAGACTCCAAGAAAGCAAAAAAAGAAAAAACGCGCTGTTATCGCGCCTTACGAAGGCCAGAAAGCAACGTTTTTAATTTCATTTTCGAATGCAGACTTTCTACTCGGAATGACGACATTGTTACTTGGAATTCTGACGTTTTACAATTTCAAAAAATGTCTGCCTTTCCTGAAATATTTCGAACAAACTTTTCTTAGTTAATATTTGGGAAAAGCTATTGAAATTTTGTATATAAACAGGTGATTGATCATGATGAAGAAGTTGGGATTGTCAGAAATATTTTTCAATATTTTCAGAGATTTAACATGCAAACTACGTTTTTCTTATGGGCGCTATATCTGTTTTTATATACCATTGAATGAAAATAGCGCTAAAGAACAGTGAAAACATTTTCAAATGTGGTAGGCCATGAAAATGAGAAAACATATATTATCAGTCGTCATGACTACAATATCGATACTTCTTAATAACCATGAATAACTTGCTACATTATTACAAAAGGCACAGAAAACCTCAGAATATAAATTTTTCGTTGAATAATCAAGATACTATTTCCTTCAACTATTATTGAAGGTTATCATTCAGTGTAAGACTTGGTCTTGACATAAGTTTTATTCCAGTTATATTTCTATGATTGAATTTGAATTGGTAAATCTCTGAAAATAATAGAATATTTCTGAGAATCCCAACTTCTTTACCATCCATGATTAATTACCTGTTCACACATAATTTCAATATTTTCTCTCTAATATTAACCAAGAGAATAATTAGGAACGAAATCAGCGATTTTAGTCTTTTCAAAATATTTCAGGAACGGCTGACATTTTTCGAAAGTGCATAACGTCATATTGAATAAGTTCAAATTAAGCAACGTATGTCCTATCTAATCAACTTTATATCTCTTACTGTTTGGCAAATAGCAATACTGTGTCTATCAAATCGTTGATGGGACACTGTATATTTCTTTACCACGGAAAGACCTCTCAAAGAGCTTTCCAAAGACACATCATTCAATATAATCATCTTCCATATTTTTCAATTCTTGAGTATCTAAGACTAACAGAGTTTGATCGATTTTTTAAATAAAATAATAAGAATGATTGCAAATCTGATCAGCAAAAAATAAAATTGTTATCATTGTCATGGCCTATACTCTCAAACACTATTCAAAATCCATGAAACTCTGATGTTTGTTTCGAATCGTTTTAAAAGCCTATATTTGGAGGAATACATGCAGAAGATGAATATATTTAGTAGGTATTTTTTCAGATAGTATAAGAATGTATCTGTTTATTCGAAAAGGAGATAATATCATACATCAATAACCAGGGGTTGTCTTCAATTTTTCATGCAATATTCCAATATTGGGCCAAATCCGAGTTGAAATTCGGATTAAAAAGAAAATGGTACACTTCTACGCCTCTGTATGAACACTCAGACAATCATTTCATGTTGCGCCCTTTGATCCCCAAAGCCCTCTAGCTTTTTTCAACCCAGTCCGCCCCTGATGAGTGGGTTGGTAGTTTTTAACATTTTTTCTCAGGTGTTCAGATTGATAGAAACATTTTTTCAATCTGATACAATCATGAAAATGCAACAATTAATAACGAGGTAAAAGTTTGGTTTCACAATTCACAAATGGAAAGCGCCAACTAAAGTCTATCTACACAGCAATTGGAAAAAATACTCATCAAACAAGGAAATTAGTGATTCAAATGTGACCAATGAAGAATAGGAATACAGGATTTATATCAGGGCCTATATGGGCACTCCTCATAGGAGTGAATTTATATACATGTGGCAACGCTGGTTGAAAACCTGGGAACGACAAACCGCACGATTTTTAAAATGGTGATCGGAAGTACAAATACTTTTTTCGAAATGTACGATTTTCGTTGCCTCGGGTACTTGATGTAAACAATTGAATTTTAGACGATGACGTGGGGTTCACATACTGAATGTTAGATGGCGTGATTCCTAGTGTACGGCTCAAAGCACAGTAGAGAGCTCAAGCTCAAGTAAGAACTTATTTTCTCTGATGTCACAGCTGTCTTCAATTGTAGATGACCTTGATGCGGCAAAATGTATTCCCTATCTTCATTGGTCTCAATTCGGACACAGTTGCCTGTAATTTTGGTAGAGTCCGACCACGTTAATTTTGGGACAGCATGTGACGCAACGCATATGCATATTCAATGCATACGCGACCACGTGCTGTCCCAAAGTTATCGTGGTCGGACTTTACGGCACCAGAGATTGAATAATTGTAAAACAGGAAAGGATTGAAGTGCGTACACCAGAGCGTTGATTGATATATTACGCAGGTTTATTTCATCAATATTGGAACACTCAGTTCAGTGATAAAAATCAATTATTATTCTGCCAATTGCTATGAAAAATCGGGTGACGCGAGTGGTCCGGTAGTCCGGTAAGTAATATAGTTTCATATGGTGGAAAGAATACAAAAGATTCCAAGTCTCAATAAGGCTTGCTATTTCGCACAAGATACAGTTGAGATTCAAATGCGAAGATCATGCATGCTGTGTGCTCAGTTTTGCGTAAATCCCATTTTTCGTCTTTAAAATCTATATTCATCAAGAGTTTCAGATTATGTAACTATAATAATTATATCATTATATACCTATAGGTATATATAGGCATTGAGTATTCACACTAGTAGGTTATATACTTACATTCTTCGAAGTCTTTTGTGAGCTACAAACGCCTTGGGTGGAATCTCGGTGATTTCATTTTGTTCGAATCGCCTGAAATTGAGAATTCTAGAATTATGAGTGGATAATCTTAAAGAAACAAGTTGTGTGCAAAGAAACACTTTGGTTGAGCAATTTGAAGTCATAACATGAAAACCCACAAAAGAATAATTTGAGTACAATATGAAGTGTGTAGGTGCCTGTTCAATCGATTGTAAAATATTTTAGGGTTTATTAGTTGCTCAATAGCTCATCATCAAAATAATCTTAGACTGATGATCTGGTTTCCTGAAATATGAATTCTAAAACGAACAATTTACATCGGATCCTTATGAGATTTGGTTGTATTGAAATTCAAAATTTAAAATTTGAAGATTCTCTAGCACTATCTAGATGTTCGTGATTCTTGCGAATCGCCATCTATTGGTTCACGCACCAAGCTAAAAGTTATAGGGTTGATAAAGTCATCTGCAAAAAGTATAATTCCTACTCGACTGATAGGTATCTACTTTCTCAAACCTGCAAAAGATGTCTGCATTATCGGCTGCCTAGCTAATATATATTAATGCTATTAGTAAGTGAACTTCATCGATAGATGGCGAAACATGTATCATTTCAAGGTTGGTAGAATCATTGAGTATTCACACTAGTGTAAATAATCAAGGGTAGAATTGATGATTATTTGTAGAAGAAGGTTGCATTGATCAGCAAAACGTGGTGAGGGGAAATGGTGATTCGTGACTTAATTCTATCGAAAATTCCATTTCGTAGTCATGGGAATCTTTATACTACAACTGTCTTCAGGTAAATTTACCAATCCAGCTGTAATTATACTATTATGTCACGAATCACCACTTCGCCTCACACCGCGTTTTCTGATCGAGGCAACCTTCCTCTACAAATAATCATCAATTCTACCTACCTTGTAATTTCAAGAGTATGGAAGAACAACTACTGAAGATGATTATATTATTATTTTAATTTTATGTAAGTCTATTCGTCATCTGCAAATGACCTGAAAATGAATTTTTCTATGTGACAACATATTCCACCAATCTTGCTATTCCATCAGAAATTCCAAGTCTGTAAAGTGTCTTCAATGTTTCGACATGTCAGGATGTCAAAAAACACTAAGTAATGAATTCAAATGTGTTACATTTGGTATTAAAATTGGTATGAATAATTCTTCAAGGATTTTACTTTCACCTTCTTTGTCTTCCTATTTTGCAGTGTATTTCTAAGATACAAGATATCACCATGAATATTCATGAAATTGGTGTGTCATTTTGTCAGCATAGACACCTATCAGGATTTGGTGAAATCATATATTGTCATAACTAAACAAATGAACATGATGAAATTCGTTCGCCTGAAAAACTAATTCGTGCTTTCTAGAAATATAGGATGAATATAGAGGTGCAGCAGACCGAGTGCGACCGATGAGGTCTGGTGTGCCGCAACAGTACCACTTTTTTGCTCTTGCTTACGTAATCTACCTTGTCGACAAAATCTCATTCCATTCGCTGATTTACTTACAGTTCAGTGATTCCTTCGGGTAGATGTTCAGGGATGTTGGCTAGTCCTTTTTCTCGGCAATCGACTATACCGTTGGCGCACCTGCAAGGGTGGGGGCATTGGGGTTCGCTAATGCATTCCCCATTCATTGCACGCTCCACCAAACCTATAAGTCATTATCAATTGTTTTATAAAAATTAATGTTCCTTTTTTTCATTAATTTTTCTATTCACATTCACATAAACCGCTTCATCAAAATGTAAAGGTGGATGAGTAGATTGTTTGTTTTCAAACAAGAAATCTCCATGATGCAACAGAATGGAATAGTTGCAGGGTTCTACTTCTTATATTCAGTTGCTCATTTTGTAAATTCCAGGTTGTGTTTTTTTCTAGCGACAATGAAAACTGTATTGCCACTTATATAACAAGACTTGTTGAATAACATACAATGTTATATGGATGTTATATGGATGATTATGAAACTCTTCCCTAATTTACTGGAAAACAGGCACATTCCAGTCGGTTATAGTACACCTTTTCCAGTTGTATTCCAGAATAGTCAATTGTATTTCAGAAACCGTCAATTGAATTGCAGAATAGTCAACTGTATTTCAGAAAGAGTCAATTGTATTTCAGAATAGTCAATTAAATTTCGAAAAGCATCATTTGTATTTCAGAAGATATCATTCGAATTCCAGAGAATGTCGATTGCATTTCGACTGATTTTTTCTGAAATACAAAAAAAGAATTACAAGAGACTATTCTGAAATACAATTGACAATTGATACTTTCTGAAATTTAAATGACTATTCTGAAATAGAATTGATGCTTTCTGGAATTCAATTGTCTATTCTGAAATACAATTGATACTTTCTGACATACCACTGACTATTCTGAAATACAACAAACTGGCAAAGGTGTAGAACCTAACCTGATCTAACAGTGTAATAGAATCCAGATCGTGTTTGAATGTAAGATGTAAGTACATTGTCACAGCCTTCTTGAACATTGTGCATGGCATTTCAAATTTTGGCGAAAGAACTATTCTCTTTCGCCAGAATCTTGCTCTTTCACCAAAATATGAAATTTCCTACTCGATTGATGCATTTGCCTATGGCTTATGCTGCAAACTCCATTCTCGTAGGAAATCACTATCCTTCCGTGCTCGTTCAACAATATACTATTTTCTACGGCTTTAACACAAAATTTCTCTCGTTTTACTGTGTTCGATACGTCAATGAGGTATACTTTGTATGTCATCAATACTATTTCCGTATCTGATATTACAATGAGGGCCTATTTATGCATCATTGTCTTAGTCATTGTCTTAATCATAGTCTTACCAAGGTGAATAGAATATTAACTCATCATATTTGGACCTTTATGCATCACAGTCTTTAGGCTTAAGAATTATGATATGACAATTGACAATGTCTAGAGATTCGTCAGTAGATAGGTACAAAAACAAATTCTTCACACCAGAGATGAAATGTAATCTATTCAACAGTCAATGCCATGATGTGTGACATTGATTTCCAGGAATTCTGTGTTGCAATTTTATCTTTGTATCTTGAGTCCTTCTTGTCCCAAAGATAGGGAAATTTCTCCACCAAATCTATTAGGGTTTCCTCTTACAGGCTCATGATTTTTTGATATTTGTTATCAAATGTAATCAAATTATCAGAATGATCTAATCAATTATTGACACATTGCAAAATGGCAATGAATTTTGGGTGACAAATACAAACTTGAAAGTCATTTGTGATTGTCAAATAGGGCTACACATGCGCATTTCTTATGTGGTCTCAATCATAAGCATAAAAATTGAAAGTTTGTAACTTTCAGGGTCATGATTTAATGATTATGATTAGGACTAAGACTAAAAATGTTGCATGAATTTCCCCATTGAAATGTATGCTCATAACTTGATTTTATGATTAAAACAAAGACTGTGACTAAGACTAAGACTGAGACAATGATGCATAAATAGGCCCTGACTCCATTGTGTTATTATTTCAAAAAAATCTCTTCTTCGCTCATGGAATGTCAAATGTGAAGCAATGACAGCTCTGTCTAATAGATTAGCATTACTTGACAGGAAATCAGATGGCTACAAAACGAAGAAATCGAAAATGCCACTGTTAATCTATTATATAGCCGTAGAAAAATCATAGTGGATAACTTGCACAGAATGCTAATTCCCTATTCGAATGATTGCAGCATATTCGCCTATGGCTCATGCTGCAAACTTCATTCTCGATTCTCGTAGGAAATCACAATCATTCCGTGCTCGTTAAACAATATACTATTATTCCAAAGGCATGTGAAAACACTGTATTTCATCGAACGGCACCTGTACCAATCACTATCCTGAGCAAACTGAAGTTAAAATTGCATTTTCTAATGAAGCTTGCCATATATGGGTGACGTAGGCAAGTAAATCTACAGTTGATCTTCGGTGGCGAAACCCATAATATTGCCTATCATTGATGATTCCTGAGCTTTCCAGATATTTGATAAGCTCAATGTTAATGGCTTTCTCCGTCACTTTGGAGACCACTGATAACACGACAATAGGGCTGTAGTTGTTGGGCAGGTTTTTGTTCTCTTTCTTGGGGATTGGTTGGACTCTAGCTATCTTCCAGCATGATGGAAAAATACCCGCTTTGTAAGAGGTGGTATATAACTTGCAGAGAATAGGTGTCAATTCTGGTGCACATTTTTTGAGGATACTGGGTGAAATTCCATCAGATTTGGTAACAAGATAAGATTTATTCCATCCTATACAAATTACAAAGTTAGTGGCAGAGAGTCAATATTTCTGAGAACAATTCGCCCCTCTCCAAAGATCCGATGGACCAGTGTGAAACTCAACATGTGGATTAAAATACTTGTATTGCGAGCATCACATGAGTTTTAAACTGGTCCATCGGATATTATCTTTCGACGGGGGTGAATTTCGGTACCAATTCAAGAAAAACACTAAAACCCCGTGCATGGGCAAACAAAGTTATCGATGATTTTGGTATTGCGCATTATCCCCCGAAAAAGGATCACCAAAACCAATGAAGATGAATAAATCGCTCACCAGAACACTTGAACTCTGCGTCCTGCAAATCAACGATCGCCTGGCCCCTCAAATGGCTCGGCGAATGGCACTTGGTGTACTGAGCGAGCCTTGGCGAATGCCTCAGATACCTCGCCAGCCAAGATAGCTGACAATCGCAATGGAGAAAGTTGTCGCTGAGCCTGAGCGTTCGCAGACGGAACATGTTGCTGAACATGTCTTTGGCTAGGTACGTGAGGTTGTTGTTGTTCAGTGTTCTGAGAAAAGAAAAAACAAACGCACGATTAAATGACAGTATTGCGCGTTTTCGATAAAGTACACGAAAATTAATTTCGAGCCGGCAGTTACCCTTCAACGGCCGCTAAATCAAACGTCACTTCAGGTTTAGACATTTCAACAAGGTTACCTACCAGCAGGATGAACAGAAGATGGTGTAGAAACTCCTATCAAATCCCATCTACTGTTTTTCGGTCAAAGTTCTTGACCTACGGCCTATTTGACAGAAGGATTCTTTCCAATATCGCGGAATATAGGTCGAATTTTACCCGTTAGATGTCGGAATCTCAACCAAAATTCAAGGTTGGTAGAAATGTTGATACTTGAAATCCCCCAAAATTACAGTTTCGTACTTTCAAATTCAATCTCATTTGATTCGAGGTTATGTTATGAATGTAATGGTATTATTATTTCTGGTGCAAGCGGTGTATAAGCGTCGTTTTTTGTTTTCTGTCATGAAAGAAGTCTGTAAAAAGTGTCGCCATCTTGCGGACAACTGAGAACTAATATGCCATTATTGCAGAATCTGCGGTCGAACGATTTGGGAGAAACAAAACACTGTCTATGATCATCTTGGTCACCAGTTATCAGTGTCAGACCATTTGTCAAGAACTGTCAAAATGTTTTGATATGCTGGGTCGCGTTTGAATACGTATACTTTGTGGAGTAGAGTTTACACTCATATTTGCGTTCGATATTAATCAATCGTCAGGCTGTGTATATTCTACTCTGTGACAGTCGTTCGGAAACACTGGAGTAGGTATTCGACGTCAAGTCAAATTTTGTAACTCAACAAAATAGATAGGTATATTATTTTACTCCACTGATTTGACACAATTATTACAGAGTGTTGAGGTTGATGGAGTTTTTTCCGTTTGTTTCAAGTTAGGTAAGGTCCATTTATATGTTTTTATATTCTCGAAAGAATTCACACCTGGTAAGAACTTTCTTGAACAACGTTAGGAACGGTGATGTGATATGAGTAGGATCATATTTTGATGTTGAAAGGAATCAAAAACCTTCAGAAAGTTACACTGAGGCTCTGTTGAGAGCTACAAATCTGATACCAACAAATGGTTTCAGCATAAAGAGGCACTCAACATTATTTATTCGCAACTGAGATCTACTTCTTTGTGAATCTATTTCATGAATTTAACTAACTCAAAAATCAAAATTTTGTTCAAATACTACATAGAATAGTGATTAACTCAGAGTGAACTGATAATATAGGCTCTGATCATTTATTTATCATTTTTTTAAATCTCAACTGTAACGTCAGCGTCTGTCAACTGTTTTATTAATAGCATCATTCTGTTCGAATTTTTTTTCTGAATACTTTCGTTGACGTTTGGACAACATTTGTAGAAATGTGGATATTTTTATGAAATTTTGAATTGTGAATGTGGCAGAAAATATCACTGGAATGAACGTCAGTGTTTCATTTGGCAGATATTTAGACACCCCATGTGATTTCACATTGTGCTATGAAACAAATTGAAATGTTCAAACTGGTCATCGTTAACTTGAACACAAAATTCACACCGACTGATTGCTAATTCTGAGTATCTCCTTTAGTATTGAACGCCAACATTGAATTTACACTCTTTTTATTCCAGATTTTTTGGAAATTTCTCTCCTCGTTTCTATGAAATAAAAATATGAATATTATTTCAACATCCTGTAATTCATTTGATTGCCAACGTCACCAATTGTCACTGAGAACTGAAAAGTGTCAAGACAAATACGAATTTGCTATTCAGATATCCATTTTTCATGTTGAAAACGGGAGCAGATTCGTTCCCGAAACGTCCAAAGCTGAGTAAAAATTTGATATTTTTTCCATATACCTTTATTTCTCTCCTTCAAACCTTTTTCAATACAAATTGTCACTGACATGCTAGTGACATTTTCTTTCAGGCTCTCTGGAAAATTCTTTAAACGAAGTGATATTTAGTGGCAAATCATTTGATTTGTCCTCACTACACGTATATTGAAATAGTATTCATATTTTTATTTTATAGAAACGAGGAGAGGATATCCCAAAAAATCTGAAATAATCGATTAACCTACAGACAGTATTTACACTCTTTAATTAGAGAGTTGAAGTGTAGTCATGAACGTTAACGTAAACGTAGAAATTGACAGCTACGCATGCGCATTTTCCAATTCTTCACGTTTGCGTTGTTAGTGGGCTTACGGGTGTACGTTATCTCATGTTCCTTCACGTATACCTTAAATATCAACGTACGTTAACCAAACTATACTCGAAATATGCCGATGAGTCAAAATTATCAAATTCGAGATCACCAACGAGTTCTGCATCAAGGAGTCCTCTAATTTTGACAGGAATAAATGTTCGAATCTAAACACACAACCAAAAATGACCAATACAAATCGAAAACAAAATGTATTATTACGTTATGATGACAGTGACGACCAAAGTGGCGACTTCAACTCAATTTAACGACAATACGTAAACGTTATTTTTCGTACGTTAACGTCGACGTGGAGGTCTACGTACAGTGATTACTTCAACTCTCTATTATCCGCTCATTGCTGGCACCTCTATATGTCATAAAACACGTGACTTCATTATAACTATACTACAGGAGATAATGAAGTTCTCCATATAACATCGTCCCCAGAGCTTTCTCGGATTTCCGATGTATCGATTTACGCGTTTCGATAGCAACAGGTCGTATTCGAACAGGCAACAAATGGCCTATAACTGTAATTTTCCTACATCTCTGTGATTTCTCTTCCATAATATACTGCTCCACATTCGAAGTGGTACATATACCAAATGGGCGAATAAGCCAAGATATGTCTATAAAACAAGTTGCTAGATGTATACATTTGTTTCAGTCTTGAGAGGTTTTCAGAGAGGTAAGGCTTTGAAATACCTAGTGAGTTTATCGGCATGAATCAGGCAATACAAAACGAGAAATGGTCGATAAAGGAAATTATCTGGGATTCACGAAACAGTTTTAACGATTGCATATTATATGGGCTATGGGCCAAACGAGGACACCAATTCAAAGTAGGTTCGAAGAACATTTTGTGTGAACAATTCTATGCTGTTAGGAGTAGTAGTAGTAGTAGTAGTAGTAGTATATGTACTTCATTGGCATGTATGTAGAAGTACATACCAACTGGCCATCGACCTTACGATAGTTACCTTACTTAGTTTCATAATAACTAATCAGTACTCACAATATTTCTAGGTCCTTCATACTCCTTAGGGCGTTTTCATCTATGCAAGTGATTTTGTTGTTGTCAAGTTGCCTGTAATGAAAACATAGGTAAAAAAATGAATTACAGTAGTGCTTCAAGTTGGAAATTATAGCCACTTTTCCTCGAAGTTAACCACACAAACCGGGCCAACAATAAGAAAACCAGTCAATTTTCCTCGAAGTGTTTTCCAAACTATGACGTATGAGGTATAGTTCACAGAGTATTTGAAGCTTTTTATTGGGCACAGGGCTCTTGTTGTTGTTATAATCTGAGGTTATATAATTGATATAAAAAAATAATTAATACTTCTTCAAGATATAATTATGGATTCATACGAGGTATTTTTCAATGCGAGATCTCTTCTTTTTCTTGATGAAAATAAATCTTTTCGATGTTCTTATACTTTTTTGTGAAACTCGATACGATACGATACCGCTAACAGACTTTGAGATACAGGGCGAAATCGAATTTGTTGCATTTTGGGACTGTATCTCAGCTATCTTTCAACTTATAGGAAAAGTAAGAACTTTCACTCATACAGTTTTATACGTGGAATCTATAGTGACGTAGTTAGATTTTCATTTTTCATTTAGATATCACCCAAAGTTATGTTTTTTTAAATGGATCACCCTGTATATTTTTCTACATTTGAAACATTGATGATTTGCGCTTTCCAAAAATATATAACACATACGATAATTTGAGTATTAGATAATTTACAATTTTTTTGTATATTTCTTATTGATTCGCCTTGTGAAAGTGTGGCAATATTTTAAATATACTAATACTAGTTCAAATTTTACCAACATTCATTATTTACCAATATTCAGCACTATTTATTGACTATAAAAGCTGTGAACCGAATTAGTAGGTGGCAATGAAAAAAAGCGAGTGCAGAATGTTTTATAATTATTGTTGTCACCTGACTATACCTGTCGAAGTCTACAAAATTTCCATTTCCATCAAAACTACGAAAGATCACCTATATATTAGTTGGGATATAAGTTGGTTCCTGAATTTTCGTATGGTTTTTACCTGTCGAAGTTCACAAAATTTCCATTTCCATCAAAACTACGAAAGATTACCTATATATTATGGAAGGGATATAAGTTGGTTTCTAAATTTTCGTATGGTTTTGATATTCTGGATTATATTTCGCCATTGGATGAAAAATTTGTGAACAGGTGACAAGAATAATCATAAAACAATTTTTCCATAGCTACCTACTAATAAGGTCCACAGCTTTTATAGTCATAAATAGTGCTGGATATAGGTAAATAATCAATGAGGGTAAAATTAATTCAAACTTGTGTGTGGCGAAACACTCTGTCAGCAACAGGGTAAATATGAAAATTCATATTATTAAAAATATTGCAACACATTTACAAGGCGGATCAATAAGAAATATAGTAAACAATTCTAATTTATCTAAATTCAAGGCTTATACTCATAATATCGTGAGAGTGTTATATATTTTTGGAAAGCGCAAAGCACCAATAATTTAAATAACGAAAAATATATAGGGTGTTCCATTTAAAAAACATATCTTTGGGATATATCTAAATAATAACAGTTTATTTTGAAAATCTGGCTTCGTCAATGGATTCCACGTGAAAAAGTATGTGAGTGACAGTTTTTACTTTTTCTATAAGTTGAAAGATAGCTGAGATACAGGGGAAGTTCCAAAATGCAACATTTTCAATTTCGCCCTGTATCTCGAAAACGAAGCAGGCTATGAAAATTCTGTTCGTGGTATAATAAGTTTCACAGAAAAGTAGCCAACGTTCGTGAAAACAGCAAATCTCTATCTTCAAAAATAAGTGAGATATCCCGTAAGGACATCGAAAATGGGACATAGCGTTCCAATTTTTTTGTTACAGATGATCAATTTATTATTCAATTTATTACTACTGAAACCAAACAATGAACAAAATCAGCTGATACACTGACATCTGCCAAGCTTCACAAGTAAACCGTGACGTTATAATGAAGTTACCGTGACGTCATCATAAAGTAAACCTGGTTTGTCTGGTTCGAGGAAAAATGACTTATATATGATGACTCACAGATTTTTCAGAGCTGTAGCCCCACGAAATGTTTTCCGTTCAATAACGGAAATTGAGTTATGGCTGAGGTCCCTGTAAATCAAAAATACAAAATTTTGTCAATGATGATGTTTATATCATTATTATAATTCACAACATAGGTGAAATTGGTTAATGAGTGACTATATAAGCGATTAGTCAATAGGAGAAGAAAGAACATGTTTAGCTAGATGTATTTTGTAAAGTTGCTGTTATCGGATTGTTGTTTCTGTAAAGCAATTAGCATGTTGGTACAGACAAGTTTCATTCAAATGGTCTGAAATATATATATGGTTGTTGAATAAAATACTTTATTATTCATTCCTATGACAGATCTTTGACGTGAGTATGCTAACATAGTATCAGAGACCAGAATATTTCCTTCTGTATTCACAGAAAACTTGTCTGTACAAACGTTTTCCGAAGAGAGCTTAGTGGGGTGAAGTGGCGTGAAATGATTACAAAGTGTGCACAATAACCATTGAACCCAGTTGGTATACCAGATAGTTGCATTTGAATTGAATTGATTTTATTTTTTTGGTATACATATATTGCCAGTGAGGATTATTTGCCTAAAACATAGTGTCCCTACACCAATGAGGAAAGAGAAGTACAACACTGCGTACTTTTTATCAACATTTCATCAATAATAGTTATGATATATTCAGTAGTAATACCATAATTACTTAAAAAAATTTCGGGTTGATACATCGATAACTTGATGCATATTAAATTTATTACAAAAGTTGCGTTTTGTTGACGCTAACCTAGTTCTGTAACAGCTATTTCATGTGTTTTCTTGACATGGTCTATGAATTCGCGCCAACAATTTCAAAAGCTATTCGCTCTGGCTGCTCGATATATTTCGATCCAACAACGACGGAACAAAATGGCGGTATTGAATGTTGATTTTGGAGGTTATCCAGGTTATTGTCTTTCTGATTTTCTCACCCAACAACTAGTAAGTGAAAATAGTGAAAATTCATATTACGAATAATATTGTTGTTGTTTAAAAATGTCTAGCTTATGTGTTGTTTATGGATCTAAAGTTCGTAGTCCGTGACTTGGTATCGACTTTTCGTTAATATTTTGTGAGGAAGGAACATACACCTCTATGAGTAGATCATTCGGATTTTTTATCAATCAGCTTGCCATGTTATTAATTTATTTTAGGAAATACCAGTTTAGCCTATTATAAACTAGTTCATCCTATCGCTCTTCGGATATACTGGTTTAGCCTAGGAAAAACTAGTTTATCCTAAAATCGGGTTTGTCCGTTAACATACAGGGTGTTTCAAAAAAACCTAACCCCCTTGCTAGGGTAGGTAGAACATCGCAAAATAAGTTGGGTTTGCTCAGTGAAAAAATGTCGCAACGGCATCCGTTATCAAGATACAAGGTGTTGAAAACATAATTTTTTTACACGTTTTTCAAGATTATGTCGAAACTACTGGCAACATTGTGATGAAATTTTGTATGGATGTTTCTTGAAATCTGACACATTGCATTAATTTATTTTTATATCTGACTCTCATAGAGGGCGCTAGTTACACGGTTCGTACCGATTAGTTTTGAACATAACTTTTTTGAGGTTGGATTTTCCAATCCAAATATGATATGAACTTGAACATCATTCAATTTTACACCAAAAAGGTATACTCCTGGTGAAACTCGATACTATGTTCCGTTTTCGGAATATTTCGATTTGAAAATAATGGAGTAGTAATGATGCTGGTATAAAATGAATTTTATTGAGTTCAATTACCTATTTATTCAGGTTCAAGAACAATAAAATTATTCTTGTGCTGAAGTTATTGATGGAACAAAGAATCATAAGTAGAAAATTAAGAGATATTTGACTAGAAACATGAAATATTGAATCAGAGTAAGTGTTCAAAATGTCCTACGTTTCGAGGAATACACGATTCTATATTCTTTTTTTAAGAATGACTTATTCTTCTGAACAGTTGAAGATCAGCTGTTAGATCATTTAAGTGATGTTCAATTATGTCTCACAACTCTTGACGTGAATTTACCTATGTAGCATAGACTTTCTGCTCAAGATACAACAAAACTGTGTAATCCATGTTCTTAGTCAAATCTGTTTCGATGTTATTCTTGTGATTCATTGTTAAATAAATGAGTTTTGCACCAGAAATGTATTGTTGTTTTCAGTTTTCAATGAATAGGTGATAATTTTTCATAATACTCACTCTAATACATAGCTTCATACCAGCAACAGTTACCATTTCATCATTTTCAAATCGAAATATTCCGAAAACGGAACACAGTATCGAGTTTTACCAAGAGTACCTTTTTGGTGTGAAATTGAATGATGTTCAAGTTCACACCTTTGGATTAAAAAATTTAACCTCAAAAAAGATATCTTCAAAATTTCATCACAATGTTGCCAGTAGTTTCAACATAATCGTGAAAAAAGTGTAAAAATAGTTATTTATTATACAAGGGAAAAAAGTTGTAGATTTTAGCTCCAGGTTGTGTTGTCTCCCGACGCGTAGCGGAGGGAGACAAAAAACCGTGAGCTAAAATCTAATATTTTTCCCGTGTATAATACAGTATTTTTTTCTGTTACAGAAGAAAGGCCGAATAAATATTGAGAAAATGTTACATTATTTTGAAATCTGAAAATTATCGACGTGAAATTTTAAGTTTTCAACAGTAAGGACACCTGCGTTCTATAGGCATCTTTATCATTCTTTTGAAGTAATCAAATATTTGATGTCACTTCTGTCAGTCTAATTCTGTGATTTGATTTCAAAAAATTGCGAATTTAGTGGTTGTTTAATAATATACGTTACCGCGAAGTCGAATCGAAGATAAGGACTTGCAGTTCTTTCTCGGAGACGGTATTATTGACTCATTTTTCGGAACTATAGCACAACAAAAGCCATCAACAGTGTATATATATATGTGATATATATCCGGGAAAAAAGTACTCACTTTTTGCCCACGGGAAAAAAGTAATTTATGAAAAGTGACATTTTATAACCCGCCAACAGAGATGAAATGCCAAACTTTTTTCCCGTCACAGAAAAAAATCATTTTTTCAACACCCAAACCCAACTTATTTTTCAGTGTTCTACCTACCCTAGCAAGGGTTCAGTTTTTTTTAAACACCCTGTATACACTGTTAATGGCTTGTCTTGTGCTATAGTTCCGGAAAATAAGCCAATAACTCCGTCTCTGAGAAAGAACTGCAAGTCCTTTTATCTTCCATTCGACTTTGGGGTTACGTAAATAACGAAACAACCACTAAATTCGCAATTTTTTCAAATGAATCACACAATCAGACTGACAGATATTTGATTACTTCAAAAGAATGATGAGGATGCCTGATGCAGAAAGATTCCTGCAACGCAACAACACAACCTGGAGCAACAATCTACTACTTTTTTCCCTTGTATAATAAATAACTATTCTTGATCACTTCAATCGGTGTCACAGTGAACATTCATGGAGATTACCTACTGCGTGTACCATTTTCAAACATTCTGACTGGATAAATGAGAGTCTTATACGCTGTTTCATCAAATTAACGAAACCGTGTGTACTTTTCTTTCCCCTGAACACAAATTACTTACAAACGAAATAAATTAGGCATGGAGAAAAATAAATTTTCCGGCATCTGTCGTATATTGTTGCCGTTAAGTCGTCTAGAAAAGAGAAAACGAAAAAGTTATGGTGACTTCGGTTGGGATCTTGTTTCTTACTTACAGTCTCTCTAAATTTATTAGGTCTTGGAATGCATTCCTTTCTATCGTACGTATTGCATTATCAGTCAATTGCCTGCGAAAAACAATTGCTTAAGAAGATGAAAAACTATAGTTATAATTACGAAAGTCACGAAAGTGTTCTCTTTCTTTACAGTGCGTTAGAAATGTTTGTGGACATTCACGGAGAAAATCAATAAATTCGTGTTCTAGCTGAAATTCATCATTTTTTGAAAAGTTGATGTACTACTGTATATTTTTAACAGAATATCATACAGTGGCCATCAAAAAGAATGCACTATACAGGGTGCCCGTTTTTCGAGCTGCACCATCACCATGGGCATCTCAGTTATTATAAGAGATACGAAGATACTATATTTTCAAGCGGAAACCAAGAAACCTATAGACGTTTCTGACTGGGAAATTGTCAAGGCAATTCTTTACAAGGAATCTGGATCTGTCATTGTATTTTCCATGACGTTCCTGATGCCAAAGTAACAACACACAACTTTGTTTTTTCTTATGGGCGCCGTATTGGATTTTGGAATTTCTGAAATGATTTTTTTTATGATTAATTGATGCTTTACGAAATAAATAAAAAACTCTTCATTTCGATTCTTCAAAAATTGTATTCAATGTTTCATTTTGAATATGAATTTGATGAAAACAAGAGAAGGAGCTGTTCATATATAGGACACAAACTGTGAAAAGCATTATATTCTAGATTTTATATTGGTATTACTTACAGAATCTTCAGTTTTCCAAGGTCTTGTAGATCAGTCTCATAGATGACAGTGATGTTGTTTCCTTGCAAGTCTCTGAAAAAAATATCACGATATAAAAATTAGGTAATCGTTATGAAATAAAATGAGATAGCTGACTACTTGGCATATCTCGAAATACAAAATAAACATAATTTATATACAGAAACGATTGATTTTCGAGTACGTCTCAAATTGTTTGATTTTTGCAGTTTTCTCTATTTCCAGAATCGCTTTGGAGAAAACCTGACCCATGAGCCTATAGACCTTGATTTTTGTGATCATCGATTGGTGAAAACTATACTCTAATATCTCTAACCGTTTCCGAGATATAAGCGAAAATCGAAATTTGACCGATTTCTTAAAAATGTTACAACTCTTCTATTTTTGGATATTTTTTCAAACAGTAGAAACTTCCTTCAGATTATTTTCAACGTAGAATGAGATACTTCCGCCGAAAAATATATACCGCATATCATTGAATTTGTTTAATATCAAAGCCAACTTTGTTATTCCATATAGAAACAATAGTATAGGTTATGACTTCATAAATTCGGGAAAATAGAAGAATAGAAGATGTATGTCAAGATATGTCTAGACATCCTTGCTGTCTCTATAACATATTATATCTCTACGAAAATAGTTCTGGACTAAGATGCGGTATGTTGGGTATATTTTGTACAATATTTTTGTTGGTATTGGTACCTACTACCTATTGATAGGTGCGACCTGATTAGATCTATTGTGCCATTTGTGCCAAATCTTCTTCTGTTATCTCAAGGATTTCTTGTTTTAATAGCAGTCCCTCAAGCTTCCATCCTGTCAGGAATTTGAGACATTTGAGGAGATCCGTTCGTGGTATTTCTCCCAGTCACCAATTATGATCATATTTTACTCAATATTTTTTTATGTATAGCATATCACTCCAGCAATATGTGGTAGGGTGTTTCTGGATGTTTCCCGCAGAATCTGCAGGTGCTGTCTTCCTCTAGATCTAGCTTCCTTAGATATCCTGTTATTGCCCAATTTATCGGTGTCTTCGATTTTAACTAGGAGGTCTTTGGCCTGCCGCGATCCTGGAAGGTTTCGCCAGTGTGTTGCTCTCATCCTTACTTCAGCTTTATTGAGTTCTTCTCAAAAATTAGAATTGCCAAAGCCGCAGAATCATTCTGGTCCGAAGGCGGTGATGCTCCTTTTCGTGCCAGAATGTCTGCTTGTTCATTCTCCTCCATGCGCCTCGGCATCCAGAAGAGGGTTACCTTGTTGTTCCTGCCTATGAATTTTCAAGTTTGTCTAGGCATTCACTCACCATCTTTGAGTTGATGATGGAAGAGCTCAACGCTTTGGTGACTGATTTTCAAAAGACAACTTTCATCCATAGAGATTTACCCTCGTGATGTATTGAAATTATTGGGACTTTTAGGAACTGAATCAAACACAACTTCAAACGGTTTGAACTACTTGATTTATTGATAGATATAGCTACAGAAGATTATGCATCCGACAATTAAGTATTCGGAAAGAACGAACAAAAACACCCAAGCAGTGGCGTCACCTCTGTCATTGGCTTTCCGTATCTTTCTATTGGAATCCAACATGATGAACCTTGTAATGGTGGCTTGATCCTAGAAGTCCCAATAATTTCAAGCCATTCTAGGTTCATCACCATCTGTTAGTGGAACATTAAACCACTTTGAGAATTACAGGTGTGGCGATAGTCTACAGAATTCTGACATGGTGTCTTTTCTGTAAGCATATAGACGTAGGGGTCTATATGCACGACTTAGTCGCAAGGTATGATTGATGAATCTACCTATACACCTTTGCACTTAGGCCATTAGATGGCTATGAAGGCTAGATCAGTAGATCGTCCTTCTGCCCCCTCAGGGCTTCGACTTGCTTGTTTTTTTTATCGTCGGTCCACTACTCAATATTCACCTAATGGTCGCTCTGCCTGCTTCTCTCCTTACTATTTTTCCACTCGATATACACGCCACATGCCACTTACATCCATTTCGCTAATAGAAGGAACAAAGAAAAGACAAGAGGATCCGGTAATTGTCCATTAACCGACATCTCTCTGGCCTAACATGCTGCGGTCACGAACTCCTACCACCCATTATAACGAGTAATAGGAGCACTTCAGACCGGTCTGCCCCATTCGGCGAACCTGCGTCACTCAGGAACATATCTGGGAAGGGAGGGGGACGTTTTTGCCAAAAAAAGGTTCGAAACGTTTGGAAAAAAATTAGAGTGGCGAAAGTAACATTTTTCGAAGCAGGAGAACTGTGTACCCGCCAAAAAATGTCTTTCGTCGACCTCAACAAAAAATCAGATTTTACGTGCTAATTAATTAACGAAACACCGACTATCTCCGAAGGCAAGTACTTTTCGTCCGCGGCAGCGTTGCCAGTTCTACTGAATTTTCAGTAGACCTCCTGATATGCATATTGATCCACTGACCTACGGAAACCTTTCATAATCTACTGAGGAATATTTTGACCCTTATTTATTATTATAATTACCTATATCATTAATAATCTATAGTTGATCACATCCATAACAAAATATGTATAGTAAATGTATAAATTGGTACTTATGATATGTATAAACCGAAAAAGGACAAAACTTCATCTGATTCAGATCAAATAAGATTTTCTATATACCTTTTTTATAACAGTTTGTTTCTCACGTATATTTTTTTATTTGTTGTTCACTTTATATATATACTCTTAACTTATAAGTGTCTATGTAACTGTATTTTGTGATATTTGTGAGTATTCTTAGATTGAGAATATGACAGGGGCGGATCCAGGGGGGGGGGCATGCGGCCATGCCCCTCCCCCTAGAGCACCTCATGGACATGTAAAAACGTAGGTATTTTGAATAAATGAAAAAATTAGTGTATGTCTTATAGCTAGAAACTTCGCAACAGCTTTAAGGAATTGCGAATTTGTAAGTACACTCTGCTGTTTGGCAAATATATGTTCGATAACACTGCCACTTAGTAATTTGCTCCAAACAAAAAACAAGCTAACGATGTTGTTAGTATCACTCTTCAGACGCTTCCAGATAAAAGGGATGATATTCTAAATACCTACTATCTAAGTATTTCGAATGTAGCCAAACAGAAATTGAAAGAACTGAATGTTGAATTTTCGATGCCGAGAATAACAGGGAGAATGGTGCCTAGGCAGTAAAAGTACACCTTTTCTGCCTGTTAAGCGGCAAGAAAGAGCCACTATCCCTGCCGATTGAAGAAAAAAAAAACCTTTTTCTGCAACCGACATAAAAGTCGTCCATTTTGATACCAAAATTAGCTCTCAAATTGACGTTTCTATTAGTGACACAAAAATAGGTATGTTGCTAGGCAACATATTTAGTTCCTAGGAGCTAAAGTTGAATTTTAGTTCCTAGGAGCTAAAGTTGAACTTTAGCTCCTAGGAACTAAAAATGATCTACTGGACGTCATCAAGAATAAACAACATTGTGACGGTTGGTTATTTGGGTTGAGACCTGATTTGTTTTCGATTTCAGCAGATTTGGCATTTCATACCCATGCTGGAGATATAAATACACCTCATTATAGTTTAGTATTGAAATTATAAACATCTCAGTTAAGTATTTTTGTTGTGATCAGGGAAGCCTTCAAGATTCAAATACTTGCGTGATCTGTATTTCATTCGTTATTCTCGGGATGGATAACTTGTTTTTGAATAATCATGGCAAGCAATTGTTTTTTTGTCTCAAACAACGATATTGTTTAGCTTCATTTGATTATCAAGTCAAACACAGTGTAGTATGGAGAGGAATAAAATGATCTCTATTATCATTGTTGAAATGCTCACTAACCTAACATTTTCCACGTCTTGTTCCTATAGGTGGCACTGGCGCGGTATTTGCCATTAGAGCACCTGGTCCATACACAAATATGTCACTCTGTGGTTGTACTTATATTGAAACTACAATTCGAACATCTTAGAAAACCTAACCTGCTGTTAATGCAGGTAGAATATTCTCACCACATGAATTATTTGTCAATATTTGTTGCATTGCATACATATGGCAGGCCATTGGTGGTTACTTCACATGTTTATTTGGATTAATTGTTCCGGTTGCAGAAAAAATAGCATGTTTCATTCGGATCAAAAGTGACTTTGTTCGACTCGCAAATTTTGCTTTCGCTCGGCTTCGCTAAACGCTCCGCCTCGCAAATGCAAAATTCGCTTGTCAAACAAAGTGTCACTTTTGATCCTAATAAAACATTCTACTATCATCAGTCAGATCAGCCTTCACGATCGCAAATGTTTTTGTTTATCACCCAGACGTTAAGACATAACAAACATCGTGCAGATTCATTATTAAGGCGATTCCGATGTTTTCTTATAGAATTCTCTCTAAATATGTTTTATTATGAATGAAATTATCAAGTCTGCAGTCGGCACGCAGAAATATTCTCTCGCACGAGACACGAGAAGTCTTGTCCGAGTCTCGTCACGAGTCTTATCTCGAAAACGAGACGAGACCATGCGAGACTCTCGAAAACGAGACTCTCGCGGGCATCACTATTCTCAATAGTTTATGAAATTATAATTCAATTCCGTCGTTCATAGTATTGTCAAATTCGAACAATTTTGAATGAAAAATCGCGGGACGACTATGGTGCTCCTGTCACAATGCAAGGTGTGTAACTTAATATATCAAAACTTTTGAAAACACTGTTGTCATTTCTGTGTCCGAGCTCTTATCTAACTAATACCATCCAGTGAAGAAGAATCTGCTGGGGGATCGGATCGGATTTAGACGAACATTTTTGAATGCAGACCCCCCCCCACTCATTCACTGTATCTACCGGTGAGGATAACACATCTTCTCAACGTACATATTAAAAACTTTTGCCATATTTTTTGATCTTTATCATTCAATTAACACTCATATTTCTATAATAAATTCATTATTAACATAAGAAAAAACGATCGTTGATTCGTAAAAAATCCACAAATTGAAATACTCTGTCGATTAACACTGTCACAGATAATCTATGTACCCTATTAAAG